TTTTTTTTTTTTTTTTATTAAGGATTTGAAATCAGACAACAACATTTGCATACAAATTTTTGTATTCTGTTTACCTATCCATCAAAGAAATTCTACGAAGCCATTAAAGTCTTCAACCTTTGATTAAGGAGGCATAAAGGATTCAAATTAGTGGCTCTTTCAGATGATCAGCAGCAGGTTACTGGTTTCATGAACCAGCAACTGTGAATGTATACAATAAAATTTTCACAGCACTGTTTTCGGAATGTCTGTATCAATGAGATTCTACAAACACTAGTTGTATGAATGAGCAGAGACGATTTCATCACACTCGCAAAAGGACTGAGGAGATCGTCGCCTTTTTTGTACTCACTGTAGCAGAAAATTATTTAGTAGTTATAAACGCTGACTGCAAGATTATTCATTGAAGAAACCCATACACGGCAATTGAATGTACTGTTTACGGAGGCAGTTCAGTCTTTTTTACTATATTGATTTCATTCATTTATAAACCAATAACAGTATTTTCCTCACCTTACGGTATGCGAAGGGAAGCCATTGAAGAAATATCCAGTTTTCAGTTTCCGCGAAAAACTGATGACGTAATTCTAAATCAAAATTAGGAATTGGATCGGACTGGCCCATATCTTCAGAATGACTGTTAACGTCAGTGGTAATGATATCTTACGTTTTTCGTTAACTTTAAAATCTTTTCAGGTTTTATTCTCTCTTATACCATATTCATAGTGAAACCCAAGAGCCGTTTTTGGTCCAATTTCGCGGTCCAACACATAACCCATCATTGTTTAGAAACTATAGGAGGGTTTACCATGCATAAGAATTCCCAGCAACTAATATATTTATCTTCAATTCATGCAATCGAGATAAGCATTGGTCAAACGAAACTCTGCCCCATAACAACACTCTACACGGGAAGGATAAATTACCAATAGCACAATTGAAAATGGTATACCGAAGGCTGGTGCGAGCAAGTATCTGCTTCCTTCTTAATAGCACAATGAACAATCATCAAACTTTTATTATTTTTGAATCGTTTGATCTAAGAGCTGTCCTGAGTGGACAATAGCTCTATTCCATTTGTATCAAGAAAGCTTCGAGTTCACTTTCCATTTCACCCATAGAAAGATATTTCGTGATCTGGCTTCTAGCTAAGAATTGCTATCAGTTTCTTCATCCCAGAGTGTGATGTACTGATTCGCCCGCAGTTGCTCTACTCCTGGGAGTCCTTCATACGGGTACTCTGCGTCAATACCGTATCCAGTTATGTACACCTTGGTTTCTTTCGGCTGAAATTAACAATTTAATAAATAGATAAATAAAGAAACTGGTAAATAGTTAGATAAAAGATGATAAATAATGGGTAACGTCGACGGGAAGACTGATACCCTTAGGTGGTGTTTTACCAGTACCTAGAATCTTTTTTATCAGACTATAGTAATTTCGGGCGTTAAAAATTGCAGCAATATTTTATTGGTAATACATTGAACGAAAGATATTTGGAAAAATTGCTTCATTAGCGCTTTGATAAAGTATTGTTTCTGATTTTGGTATTTGTGGGAAATAATTAAAACAAGACAGAAACCCAAATAAAGTAGTTCGAAAGTTACATACCTGGATCTTCCTCACGTAATTAACCACTTCTGTAAACTAAGACAAATGAGAGATTTCTACTGAGTAATTCGGTGGTTCTGTTGGCATTAAATGTTGGTAATCAATAAACTCCAAACACCAAATCAATCTTGGCCTCGCTCTATCTCTTATACACCTGTTTTCTTTCTTCTTAAGTAATCACAGTATATCCGATAAAAAAAAATGGTACCAGCAGTTGGAACTAAGTGAGAAACGAGGTGTAGGTTGACAAACTGATTTTTAGAGATTCATTTTAAATTTTGGCTGCATAAGCTCAGGTTTTTTCGATTGAAGACTTTCCAAATCATCGTTGCGAAATGAGTTTCATACCTTGTGGACTCCCACCTCAGAACTAAGCTGTTTCGGCATATAATCTCACGCACTGTGCATTCATTACTAATTATGTGCCATTTCTTACTCTCCAATGCTAATGTAATATGTAGTCAGCTAAAAACCCTCTGATTACAATACCTACCGATGCATGTTCTTTAGGTGCATTAGACCTCGCACCAACTATCACAGTGGTGGCTTGGAAGAAAAAATCGAACACGTCCTCCTTGAAGCCAGAGTCTACGCAATAACCAAGAACTGGTTTCTCCTTGAAGAATAGCACAAATCCTATGAATAAAAATTAAATGTTAACGATTCTTTTCATGCTTCAAATTTAAAAGCTCTATTGGAATTAGGCGTGATCATCATCTGAAATTTACTTGTTCAGCTTAGAACTTACTGTTTGAGATTTGGTCTTCTTCTGGGCCGGTTTAAACTGGCTTAGCAAAGCTTTGTTTTATGTTCGAAGCGTAATTGTTCGATTGAAAGCCCGAGGCTGACAATCACGTCCCCGGCCAGCTACGCATTGACTTACGATCTTCGCGACATAAATAGTTACCCAGGTCATCGTTCAAAACTGTTTGTAACCTACCATAACATATTCCGCTATGAAGAGTTTTGTGGATTTTCATGGAGAACTGTTTTTCGTCATCCAGGTAGGTTGGGTCTCCTTCTTGCTGACATACTACCCAATCTGCTATTTGTTCCTTCAAGGAAGAACGAAAAAAATACTTAAATGGAAAAACACTGCATCTTAGCGCATATAACAGGTGATTCATGACTTACCAGTGTATACAGGTGGAGCATTTCGTCCAGTCTGCATGTCTTTAATTTATGTTGCACCTCAGGGCCAGACAACACTCTTAGGCGAGGTTCACCAGCCAAATGTCTCCTCTCGCTCTCGAACAAAAATAGCAAAGGGAGCTCACCAGCATGATCCAAGTGGTTGTTTGTGATGAAAACATTCCTTGGGAACTCGTTGTGAGCTGGAAATGCAAAGTAAGGTTGTCTAGAGAATAAATATCAGTGGGGCAACATTCAACTGATAAAGATAGACTATGACTGAGGATTTCACACAGATGGGTTTAAAACACAAGGACAAAACTGAACGATCACTGCAAATCGAGGAAGGAGTGGTAGGAATTTCACTAACCGAGTCTCTCCCTGCAAGCCTTGAGGACACCAGCTCCAACATCTGCCAAAAGCAAAGGTTTTCCTTCGTGAAACACAATTGCGGAGGAGCTTGGCTGGCCATGAAGGACGGCTGAAACCGGTTTCAAATGGCATTGTAAATAAATGATTGTTTATTTTTTCATTTTAGAGTAGACGTTACTTCTAAAAAGAGGGAGAAGGGAGGGGTTTTGGTTTGTGCAGAAATTTAATCTGCACGCCATCTTTTAATCCTTAACCCTTTAACTCCCAGGAGTGACCAAGACAGAATTTCTCCTTACAATATCAATACAATGTCAAGAAGGCAAGTGATAAGAATAAAGAGAAATATCAGTTGGGCAATTGTTAGTTGATCCAATACCAAATTCTCCAAATTAACATCATGAGAACTATATGGCAGACAGTAAGGAGAATTAATTAAAAGATTTGGAATGAAAGGGTTCATCCTTAGCCACGCAAGAAGTCGTGAAAGCTATAATCGATACAGTCGCCATTGCAATTGGCATGCCATGATAAAAAAGAAGTAAGGCAACTATCTGTGGATCAAACATAAAAGACGGTAAACATGGAGAGTGAAAGAAGCACTTGAAGGAATCTCTGAATGACCAAAAGAGACTATTTCAGGTGTACAGTTATAGGATATGGGAGAGTAAAAATCTCACGGAGAATATGCAGGAAGAATTCTGCTTAGGCTAAGCTGTAACAAGTTGACCGATCTATTTTACACTGTAAAAAATAAAAAAGTGTGCAGTTTCTACAGTACCTGTTGTTCCTGTTCCAGTCCCCACGCAGTAAAGCTGCACTGTGATTTTGCGTGAAGTTATTTGTCCTCTTAGTATGTTGAGTAGAAAATTCATTTCGGGTCGTGATTTTTCGGGCTTCAGACACCCATCTATAATTTCTTTTAGCTTTAAAACCAGTTCCTCCCCAAATTCCTCAATAGGAATATTCTGGAAAAAATGCGAGCGCTCTTAGATATAAAACATTACCAACGAATTACCGATAATACATGGAGTGACTCTGTCGTAACCATAAGTAATTCGTCCACAACTCGTATGTTTAAAAGCTAATGTTTGGACCCCTCCAGTGATTTATAGAAAAACTTTCTGGTCGAAAGATTCACAGGTAGCAGGTTGTCCTCACTCGTTATAATACTAATTACTACATAGATATAGTGTTTTTCGCGCACGCCGATTGGTTAGCTCGGAAGTGATTAGCCAGTACTATTCACCTTCGTACAGATGAAAAGACAAACCGCGTGTCAGTAGTTTAATTCCCAACCAAGTAGGGAATATTGACAGAAACAAACTAATTGTCAGGTTTTTTTCTTTTTATTTACACTTAGATATTAATTCACTTTCATTGTAACTGAAAGTGGTGGATATCTATCTCTAATTTGGTAAATAATTGTCAATAGTCAATACTTATTTCACCATTATCCTTGAAAATTTTCTAAAATTTTTGTTCGTTTCTACCCACCGGAATGGTCGGATTCTCTCCCGCCATTTTCTTGCTGAAAACCGTTTCATGCTGCAGAATGTTATCATACACCTCCCTGCCACTCAGGACTTCAATCAGACACAAACCTGGCGTAATCAAATTAAAAAAACCTTAGTTGATAGGGCCATATTCCCATGGAATCTAATACAAAAATATTTTTGGAGATCGATATTAACTTGATGTCAATTTATGGATACGGATATCTAAAGGATCTGAAATACTATAAATTTATAGCGAAGACAATTTATTAGGACATACTCTAGTACCTCCTTATTCCTTAATAATTAGGCCGGATATGTATTTAGCTGTATTTTAAAGACAAGGTATATTATCCGGTCTCAGGGACATAACAGACAAGCAAAATAGTGGGCAAATACACAAACAAACAAAACGGTGAGAAAGGTAATTAATACTCACTTTAACTAACAGTAAAACTCACCAAAACTATGAACATCAGCTCTCTTGGAATAACGTCCCCCAGAGGTGACCACTTCAGGCGCCATGTAACGATACGAGCCAATCTGGGTTTTTGTTTGACGTGTCCCTTCAGTCGCACGAGCAAGACCAAAGTCTCCGAGTTTGAGTACTGTGTGGTCAGCTGACAACTGAAAAATACCGTGTACAACGGATTGACTAAAAACCAGCCAGCTCGTGATGATTAACATACAAACACGATATGTGAGAGAGCCGACGCAAACCTGCACTAGTTATTTTAGCCAGTGCAGGGAATGATGAAGACAATCAATTTTTTCAAACTTACAAAAATGTTTTCAGGTTTAACATCTCTATGTACGATATTGAGCGAGTGAAGATGCTCAATGGCAGAGCCAATATCCTCTAAGAATCTGACGGAAAAATCTTTTCCCTGTCCGTCTCCATGGTTTTTCTCCAGATAGGCTTTAAGAGTTCCTCCCTCCATGAACTCCATCACTATCGCCAGCTGATTCTGAATGTAGATGCACTGAAGGACCTCCACTATTTTAGAGTGTTTTGCCTCCCTAGAAACAAGGAACGTTCACGACTGCTATAGAATTTTTCTCTCACTAGATGGTACTCTTTGTTAGGTTTATATGGAAAGAAGAATACGAAATGTTATTAAAGTGAATCTCTTTTCGTATTCACGGACTAGCTTTATTGATCAACGATAAAAGCTCAGAATAGCTTTGATGCTGCCATCGTATTGAACCCTCGGCTTCTGGGGTATTGTATCTGTAATCTCTATTTGATAGCAACGAGCAGAATATCTGCCAAAAGTGCTATTAATGAAGACACATTTTTTCTGCTAACATGTTCAGAAGAGTCCTACGCTTGAACATGTTTTAGCCTTGAACCAAAGATCCGGACTCTGACCTCCGTCAATCCGTCGGGAAGATTTTTCTCAGACATTACCTTTGATGCCAGAGGGGAAACATTAAAAAATATTAGCGTGCGCTGGAGAAAAATAGATTTCGTTTCCTGAAACTTGACATGTAGCGCTGTACCGGGGTTGAGCCATCGATCAGATATCGAGTTCCAAAATAAGGTCGCGTGTCAATTCATGACTAATAGAATACTTCAAACATCACTATTATACTAACCTTAGTGTGTCCACTTCTCGCTCAAAGTCCTCTATCTGTTTGCGGCTCTCGATATTCTTCAAGATCTTTACAGCCACATCACGGCCGCCCTTCTTAGCTCTAAAAACCTGGCCAAAGCTGCCTTCGCCAAGTGGATCGAGGTAGCCTGGGTCTAGCTTGCTTATCACTCTCTGGCTTACCCGAGTCAGTGTTTCTAATGCTTCTAAGTCTTCTGTCTGTCGAGATAAAATCAAGAACACAATGATCATATGAACATCAGGGGCTAAAACTGAGGAAGGTTATCCCGATATAGTGGGATGCTGGTCTATCAGCAGGGTTTTTTAAACAATGCGAGATGGAGAAAAGAAGTACCATAAAAACTCACATAAAAAACAAACAAACAAAGGTATATATATAAACAAAAAAAAATTGTTCATGATGTAGCTAACGTTGACAATGATGTGGCTAACGTTTGGTCCGATAGAAAGTTATTCAACTTGTGTGGCATATACTAAAACAACCATTTACTACACTGTCATTGACAATGGCTGATATTAACTTCACTTCAGTTAATAATGTTTATTAGAGTACCGTACCTGAAACCAGCAGTTTGTTGTAATTTGCAAATTGTTTACTTAAAGACGTAAACATTTCATTCAACACCATTAGTTTCGAGACTATTTAATCATCTGAGTTTTATGAGGTGAAACATTTGAACAACTTACTTCAATTGCAACAATGCCAAATTTTTCTCTCAACTCTGAACTTTCCCTCATAACTGCGGTAGCAAGTTTGAGAATGGAATCTTCGTTGCTCCAAGCGTTTGCACGACTTCTTTCGTACACTTTCCTTTTATTAAACACTTCAAAACCATTAATCTTGATGAGATAATTAGCAAACTTTCTGTCATCAGGAAAAGAGGCTGTTTCAGCGTAGCAAATAGCTTCATCTGTTCCACCTGTGTTGCAAAGTTAGGGCAGTTTTCAAACCAATAAACTAGCAATTAAGCATACAAAACATTTTTTGCTTCCCTTGACAAGACACTGGAAATAATGAAAAAAGTTGCTCCTTAAGACCTGACATTTCTTCCACAATAATGGCAGTCACCACCTAACGATTCAATGCAATGGAGAATTATTCTGGTCGTTACACGCCTTCAAAATTAGATGTTAGTTTGTTGATAGGGAAGTTAACGTCTTGACCCCTTTAGGGTGACTGGGATCTAGTTTCACCTACTGCATCACTGCTAAATGAAACAGCACGGTCACGAGAATAAGGAAAATGATTGCACAATAAAGAAGTTCGTGATTGTCAAACAAATTCTCCTTGTCAGTAACATAGGAAATGTACCAGGAGCAGTATGGATAATATGCACAGTAAAGTGGGGTTGTTAAGTGTTAATGTGACGAAGCTAACCTTTCAGGCGTAGTAGCGCAAAAGTTTCCTTCTCAGTCTCTTGCTGGTGACAAAAGTTTTCGTCACCAACAATCAGAATTTCCAAGGAGCTGTTACTTCGCATGAAGGATTTACAAAGACGAATGGCTTTTGCGTATTTACTGATGGAAATCTTGCAATGTTGTAGGATTTTCTGCTTTACTTCTTCAGATGAAGGGGATGAACACTCTAAAGTTCTCCATGCTTCTATTTCTTTTTTCACTCCGTGGTAAAAGAACAAAGCAGTCACTTTGGTACTTGATTCTGTTATAAGCTGAAGTAGAGATGGATGTGTCGTTAGTAAATCATCATCCATAACATAAAGCATCGTGCAATGATATTAAGAGATCCTCGCAGCTAAGAACACTATTGAAACGAGTAGTTGATAATAGGACCTGAAACCTCTTCTTAGCTGCGAGGATCTCTTAATATCATCTCTTCACCGCGGTGCAAATATATGAATTTCATACATCTAAAATCATCATTCATTACTTGGATGGTTTATTTGGACCCAGTTGGCTTGTTAGCTCAGTTGGTAGAGCGCTGCACCGGTATCGCAGAGGTCATGGGTTCAAATCCCGTACGGGCCTGAATTTTTTTCAGGTCCTATTATCAATTACTCGTTTCAGTAGTATTCTTAGCTGCAAGGATCTCTTAATATCATCTCTTCACCGCAGTGCAGATATATGAATTTCATATATCTTAAATCATCATGCATCGTGCAATGTTTAGCTTTTCAGCCCGGTGCTGTTTTGATTGTTTTAAAGGGCAATTTTCAAATCAGTGGAGATAATGAGCTAGGGTTGCTTTGCGTTTGCTTAACACCGCCTCGTGATTAGTCCATAAAACACCTGCCATCCTCTCCACCAATCAGATTCCAAACTTCAAACAGTGTGCCTTTTTTACTTTGCGTTCTAATCACAACAGTCCTAATTGGCTGTTATGATTACTTTGATTTTGGTTTTACTGACCCGAATTAGGTTGTCACGCCTTGCTTTCATCGCATCCAAAGTCCACCGAACCTTCTCGAAGGAATACACGCCTAAGGATGAAGCCATTTTAATCTACGTTAGACTTATTTTCTTTGGATTTCCGTAAAGTTGACTTTAGATTCACGCTTTCCTTTGCCAGGTCATTCCATCCTCCCCTTTCCACTTTATCGTCGCTTCGAACCTTTGTCTCGCCCAGCTTAATCTCATATCTTCAAACTACAACCGACACTCAATTGCTTCCCTCCTTTTTTCAGCTTCAAAATTTCTCCTTTTTTTTCTTTTACCTGGAGTTGATCATTCGCTAAGTGTACGTCAGTTGAAGGCTGTTCTTAAACACTACATACTTCGCATTGAGCGAAAACATCAACTTACCAAAGGGGTTTTTAGAGAATATATCTTGGATGGTGGGACGAGACATCTGCTCGTAGTACTCGTCAGGCGACAATGCATTTGTCATGCTCATCGTGTGAAATATTATCTCCGAGGCCATGTTTTCTAGTGCAAGCTGTTGCCTAAGGTAATCTTCCCTTTGGATCCGCAGGTAAGATCTTTCATATTTCTGTGTTACGGAAATTTCATTTAGAAAATGTTATTGACACATTTGAAGATTCTGACAACTTCCTCTGAAGGGGAATTCCGTCAAGATTGGGGTTACTGTTGCTTTGTCATTTAGTACATCAGAGGAGGAGCAGAACATCTGCCTAAAGTGCTATTGATGTCACAATTCACATAAGATAAGATGTTCGTGACTTTATTAGATAGCCTTTTGCAACGTTAATCAGTCTAACCATTACCAAAAGACACATTTTTCCGCTAACATGTTCAGAAGAGTCCTACGCTCGAACATGTTTTAGTCTTGAACCAAATATCCGGACTTTGACCTCCGTCAATCCGTCGGGGGGTGAGTGAGGGGGGGAGTGAGGGGGGAATGAGGGGGTGAGTGAGTGTGTTAAAGAGCGAATAACTGAGTGGGTGAGATAGAGAGATAGTGAGTGGAGTTGGTGGATGAGCGTGTCAGTGTTTATACCGGCCATGGGAAATTTTATCCTTCTAATTTTTTGAAGAACCACATTTGCAACTTACCTTTCCTTCTTTTATTTCTTCTATAATTTCTCCTGTACTTAAGAACTGTACGAATTCCCAAAGCTGTATGTTTGCCTTTAAAGTCAGAAGATTTCCCTTTTTATCAATATCTGAATCATTGGAAGTCTCGAAAGTATAATGTTTCATCTGTCAAAAGACCGAAAGAAGAAACTTATATCGGTAATAACTTTAAATGACACACTATATAAACAAGAAAAACGCAACAGAAAATCACAAAGGTGCCATAAAATTATTAGAAACACGTATGTATATTAAAAAAAAAGAAGAACCTTTGAGTGAACAGCAAACTTTTCAAAGAAGTTCTTGTATTCCGGACGCTCGGGATCACATCCAAGAAACAAGACAGATCTTTCATTGAAGATTTGCTGCATCATTTCCACTTCTGGGCTTTCCAGGGTGTTGCAAAAGCCCTCGAAGTATTTCATCCTTCTTGACTGAAATTGGATTAAGTAAAGATTGAAAGCATTAACTACTAACAGCAATTTCAAAATACAATAATGCGTATAATGGACATTAAGACATGGCAAATTCAAAGGAAACAAATCTGTAGTCAATGAAGTTAAAAGCTAAAATGGTTAATACGTATGGTCAGTTGAAGTTGGATATAATTGCAAAAAACATCGCCAGATTACTTACCAACGTCTGTGCAGTAACATCATTGTCCCCAAGGCACTTTATGATCAGATCTTCCTGCAGGTGAGGCCATTTTTGGGAGAGACTGGAAATCTTAAACCAAATAAAAATATGTAAAAATATTAACTTTCAAAGAAAAACTCGAAAACTACAGTAAACATCAACTAAAAATAAAAGTAAAGATTTCATCAAAAGTATTCTATTCATCATCTTACATCAATCATAGTGCGTTTCAAAACTCTATTTAATTCATGCCAGGCCATCTATCAACTCTTTCAAACCATCTCAAGAAACTATCACCCTGTTCCTCGCATTTTCAGCGTACAAAACTGACATGTGAACGAATAACTACTCAGATTGCTCTGAGTTTAGCTAAGAAAGCTATGGGGTCTACTCCACTCTTTTTCGGGAGAGGATGTTCAAGAACCATTAACTCAACAGAAGCACTTCTAAAGAACAGCGCTCTTCGATAGGTTTTGGCTCAGTAGGTAGGTTTTTGGATCAGGGTTTGGAAATGCTTAAAGTCCAACTTCTACACCGACCTGGTCCAATTGCAGTGTCTCGCCACCATTCCCACTCTTCCAGATAAAACGCTCTAACAGGCCGTCCATGTTGGTGGTAATAATGAGAGGAAATTTCCCGACATTTCGCAAGGCATTGTGAACACGTGACGGAGCCTCGTCGATGTTTCCCAGGAAGTGTGCGTCCACCAAAATTGGTCCAACGCCTTCCTTTAATTTAAGTAGAATCTATAGTTTTGAAACTTACTCAAGAAATGCATAAGATGATTAACTTACAATCAGTAGTCTATGTCGGTGCTGAAATCACACAAACCTTATGCCTGAATTGAGTAACAGATATTTTTTGAGATAAACGATATGTTGTGAAAAGGAATCAGCTTTTTCCTAAACTAACGTCCGGCAAGCCACTAAAGCGCCTTTTTGGAATCATCGATTACAAAGAAACACTTCTGATTTAATTCGTTAAAAAATTCAATGAATGAATGGAAACTTATTTTTTCAATGTATCCATCAACACTAAGAAGTTCTCTCCTAAGGAACTGTGCACTACGACTACAAATTATAAAATAGCACTATAATTATCATTGTTTAAAGAGGTCATTTGCCTCAGAAGTTTACATTAAAATATCTCCCAACAAACCCTATTCACCACAAACCCGTGACCCGGTTTTGGCTACTGAGAGCATACTGCAATCTAAATCACAGCTTCGACATACGAAGTACATAAGAGCCTTTTTACCTCAACTCTTAAAGTTGGGTGTATTTCATTACAAATCCTACTTAGCTACAATTAGGAACTCAAAATTGTTAGACCCCATATTCAAGCTTCTTGAATTTCTAAACAAAGGACATTGAAGAGTTAAAGTAAAGAAAAAAGCTTTCCAGTTCAGCATCAAGGGAGAAACTTTTACGGACTTGTACAGCGTTAAAGCGTGATTCAGGTCATGTGAAACTTGACGTTTTGCAATCATGTGACTTAAGCGTTGTCGTTTGTTCGTTTTAAAATAATCCTTCTTACAGAAACGAATCATGAGTGAAAAGTGAAAATCGAACTTTCTGACTTCAAGTGAGGCGTCATATTGTTATGTATTAGACTTATCTGTTACGCGCCTGCCAGCACTTGCCGTAGGGATATTGGTGATTTAAACGGCTAGCGATCAGCGCTTAAACTCTGAGTCCCTCCCCGACACGGTCTTACCTCAGTATGACTGACAGTCTTCCACCAATCATCCAGAGATGGACGAGGATCTCCCGTACTGGCTAATGTCGACATTTGTTCTCCGATGAATAGCACAAGTTTTTCTTGGACAATTTTGGAACGAATGACATCGAGTTCCTCAGACAAAAGGGAACGTACATCAGGCTTCGCCTCTCCAGGTGTAGCCATGTCTAGAACTGCCTGTATGGTTTTTCTAGAACTCCTTGAGTAAAAATTGAAAATCAGCAGAAATTATTATAAGTCTGTTTACATTTCCTAAAGACATGCTCTCGGTGAACAGAGAGCACTAATGAATCAACTACGTTTCACATTTCTTTTCCAATCTTCTAAATAGAATATATGTTTACCTGCCTTTTATGTGTCAGAGAGATTTGTGATATCGAGTGCAGATTGGAAAAGAAGGCTTTTTTGATCAGAGATATGAAACCCTCTTTCAAGCAGACCATTTCAGAAACAAAGTAAGGTATACCAATGGCAAGTTATTTGTAAGAGGCAAAACCAATCATATCAGCAGTTTTCCTCAATTTTCCACAAAGGTGGTTTGACTTTCAAGTTTAGTCAGGTGTTTTTTTTTTTACGTAGATGGCTTTCCCTCTCCTTTTCCCTGCACCCAAGCGGTGAAAACTAAAACCCTTAAAGAATATCGATGTTTGGGAAGAAGGAAGCCATGTTGAGCCGCCTTCAATCAAAAGTGCTAAGTCAGACAGATTGTAATTTTTACAAATCTACTTTGGTTATTTATAGTTTTGGCGCATGTATGTATTTACCGGTAATGAAGAAGATAAAATTATTGTGCCATTCAGCATGGATTTCCCACTGATCAAGAAATGTTGGCTCTTGCTATTTGTAAACTACGCCTTTCTATTACTTAAATTATCTTCCCTTTTTAATATTTGATTGATCCCCATGTTATATTGTTAAAAAGTCCTTATGTATGTGTAACCATTCTTACTATAGTTAAGAAATAAGCAGAGGACAGAGCGCTGTAACTTTAATAAAAGCGTTGGGTCTTTGTCAATCAATTTGCAAAGCTCAACGCAGCCCTTTCCTTTTCTAGCGTAATATATATATATATATATTTTTTTAATTCCATGCAGGAATTTTCCGTTTCTCGGAAATTTTCAAAGTTATATTTAGTCTGCACAGTTCCAGGAATCGCGATGAATTCATCCGTAGCCTGAGCATGGGAAACAATCCAAAGCTTCCTTCAATTGTTGTGTTCTTAGAAACTTCAATGAATTGAGATTATTGAACTATTAAAGGCGAAGATCCTGATGATAACGCCGTTTTGTAGCTCTAAGCTATACACCGCAAACAATACGAGTTAGATGAAAAATACACAAACAATGTCTGTGAATACAATAAGAACCTATTCTGTATGCTCATACTACAAACCAGACAGAGGGTAAGAAATTGCTTTGTCACCCACATTTAAATTTTAGCAGTCAAGAACTCGAAATTCTTATGTTACAATCAGATATACTGCATCATTTTTAAGCAGTAACTAATTGTGATATCCTGTAAGGTCATGAGACAAGACGTGACCACTTTATTTATGTAATGGTCGTTCAGCGGTAGTATTTAGTTTGGCGATGGTTTGCTTCTTGTTTTCCTTCATGCTTACCGTTCGGCAATAATCGGAAACCCCAAAATCGAATTATTCGGAATATTCGTGCCATCGGTAGGCTGCAATCTACCTTTCCTACAAAACTTAACTTCATGATATGAGACACGGTCCAATAATATTTTCCCCACGAATCATCGTCACGAAACGCTCGTGTTATTTGTGAAATACATTTACTCAGTTTGCTACTGATTAATCGTTCGCAAAGTAAATATCATCAACTGAATGTTACAAAGAGAAAAATTATCACTAGTTATGAGCATTTTATATCCTTACCTTCGAATGCTTAATGCGAAGCATAGGACGATTTCACTCGTATCCAGTAAATTGATAAGCTCAGGGAGTCCCGGAAGTAGATTGAATTACATGGAGTACCAATAAATAATGTGCTAGCGGCATCCGGTAACAACCAAACGCCCTCTCGCTTGCCTTCAATATTCCTACCAAAGCCTCGATCAACAAACTATTTTACCCTTACTTTCAGCTCAACTCAGCGTCAGTTTTCTTTTTCAGTTCAACATTAGCGATTTTCCAGCAGTATGTGACTTTGAAGATTCTATCGATTTTTTAATCCACGAATAGAAAGGCAAGCTTGGCTGAATGGAAATTAGCGGTGATATTTAGTCCACAAACAGGGGTCAACGAAAACAGCACATAACCTTCTGTTAGCAGCAGAGGGTTTAACATTTACTTTGATTACCATGATCAGCGAGCGGTGGATTTTACATTTAAAGTGTTACATTTTATTGGCTGAACACTAACTTTAAATTTTCATTTTTTGCACCATACAATTAGTTTCTTTCCGTTTGCTATCTCGAAGGTGACATCAGGATGACTACGAAACGTTGAATCAATTCGTTTTACTATTCTCAAACCATTTTAAAAGTTCTTCGTTTATTATCCTCATCCACTGATCTCCACCAAAATCCACTCCCGTTCTTTCTTTATTCTTCGGTCTTCCTTTTCATATCTTGTGGTTTTCTCAAAGTTAACGATTGTGATTTGGCTTTAAATTTCACATCCAAAAACCGACCGGAAATATACAAATATATCTCTAATCATAACAAATTAAAGACTTCACTAAAATAAATACGGTCTCCCTATTATTAAAGAGCATGAAATGAGATTTTTGGTAAACTTCATTTAAAATGGGAGCGCTTGTTATTCATCCTAGAGGAACTTGATTTGGTTTTTAGAACTAACGGCCACTGGTTTCTTCATCCCAGAGTGTGATGTATTGATCCGCTCGCAGTTGTTCTACTCCTGTCAGTCCTTCCTCCGGGTACTCTGCGTCGACACCGTATCCAGTTATGTACACCTTGGTGTCTGAAGGCTGCAAAAAATAGAAGATAATGTTTAGAGTCGGGGAATGGTCAACACAGTCACAGCCTAACTACAAACTTTCTACTTGAAGGTAGCTAATGTGGATGTGTTGGTAGTTAGTATCGATAAGAGATAATGCCTCTCTCGGTTTTCAGTTGTCACGCCACATTCCAAACCTTTTACCGGTACTTAGGATTTTGTTGAGAAAGCGAATATTGGACATAGACATAACCTAGTTTCTTCCAGCACCACCGCTGGAATCGTCCATTTGGACCGTCCAACTCGGAGGCTAGCACAAAGGGAAATGATCGACTAGTTTTACATCTCAGAAATCGACGGGAATTGCGTACAATTTAGTCGACAAAGTAGTACCAGGTTGTGCCTCAGGAAACCTTTCGCATATGTAGCGAATTTATTCTGGTTTTCACACTTTTGAAGAATTCATAAAGATAGAGTCATGGTTCAAAGTGTTCAGAGTCACTGAGCAAAAATGAGACTTTACTTCAAACTGAAGGTAATTTTACATTTTCTCTCAATCGTGGAGTCAAAGTATCACTCGACACGGCACAATATATCACGAGTTGTTCTGGACAAGACTCGCAAATATGATACTGCAACACGTCTTCACCACCACGCCTCAGGATAAGATTCGTCTCATCCTTGTACCCAGTATCACGACTATTTTTGGAGCAAACTAGTGAAGTTTAATCGGTTCAAATCAAGGTAAGGTTTTATTTTAAATGTTTTGACGAAGAGTGAGGCAAATATGAAAAAAAATATCTTCGTTGACACTAAGACGCACTGGTAAATATACTATCGTTATGTAAACGGTAAAAGCTTACGTAACTTAGAAACAGAACAAAACAAAAAAAAGGTAAAAAGCTAAAAGTCGCTTACCTGAATTCTCTGAACGTATTCAACAACCTCTGCAAACTAAAACAAGAGAGAATTGGTTAATGGAAGTCGGTGGATAAGCTTTTTATGTTCACAGTAAGCTCAAAGACCTCTTGAAGTTGGTCTCTCCTCAAGCACAAACCTAGCATACGCGAGCACAACAAGGTAACTGATGGGAACGTGATTTATTCTCTTATCTCCTTAATTGCATCAGTTGCGCCGCTGAGCGGCCTAAACTAAAAGCAACAACTAAATCTAAAGACATACCTTGAACGATTTCTACAGATTCTGCTTACATCGGTTATACGGCTTTGTATTAAAGTTCTCCAACTTAACTGTACAAGATCCATGTTGTTCAGGTGGAGAGTTTTCAGTTAAGAACAGACCAGTGTATATATAACTAAATTTTTGCCGTTTCATGGTTTCTATTTAGAAAATTATAACTTTATTTTGTACGCCTGAAAATTAAGTACCCACCGAAGCGTGTTCCTCAGTGCCCTTGTCCCTCGCATCAACAATCACGGTGGAGGCCTGGAAGAAGAACTCGAACACGTCCTCCCTGAAGCCAGAGTCTACGCAGTAACCAAGAATTGGTTCCTCTTTGAAGTAGAGCACAAATCCTATGGAAAAGAACTTAAAGTGAAAACTCAGTCTCGTTTGCTTTCAGACTTGAAATATCAAATATGAAAAGTGGGTTTGACTATCAGAAGTGAGCGACATTTTAAAATAAAAACTTATTTCGCTTGTAATTCACCGGCTGACATTTAAATTCCTTCCAGCTTAATTCTATCCCGGAATGGAGATGTGAGAATTAAGCTGGTCTTGCCTAACAGTACAACACTATGACCTAACCCACTTCTCAAAAGGGAACCGTTGATTCTAAAGCGTGACTTAGACCTCCATGTCTTCAGCCACCTTGTATCAAAACATACTATTACTGTCTTGTCGACACAAACGATTATTCTGATAAACGTTCAAGCCTACCATAGCAGATTTCGCTATGAAGCGTCTTGTAAGTTTTGATAAAAAACTGTTTATCATCATCCAAGTAGGTTGGACTTCCATCTTGTTCACACGCCAGCCAGTCTGCAACTTGTTCCTGCACGGAAGAACAAAAAAAAAACACGTTTTAACTGCTATGTTTCATACGTTGCTTCAACTTGGCTGATGTAACAGACAATTCCTCCCGAGAGTGGGCTATAACTTACTTACTTAACCCTTACACCAGAATTTAAACGCATTAATTTATTTAGATAGATATCACTGTGGTCGGTATTTGATGTTCTTTGTTCGCGACTGGTTTTGTAAAAGGCATGCTCTTGCAATATTAACACCGATGAATGATTCAAGCATGAAACATCTAACACAGAACCATTTAGACATGTTACAAGGAAGCAGCTCTCCTATAATTTTTTTCCACCGAAGAAAAAAGTCACAAAGAATAATCAGTTTGATTAATGTCACTCCATTTGTGCAAGTTACCTTTGTTTGCATCATACTCGAAAGAGTGTAAGAGTGACCTATGACTTACTGGTGTATATAGACTGAGCATCTCGTCCAATCTGTGTGTCTTCAGTTTTTGTTGCACCTCTGGGCCTGACAGCACCCTCAAGCGAGGTTCGCCAGCCAAATATCTCCGCTTGCTCTCGAATACGAAGAGCAAAGGCAGTTCACCAGCATGATCCAGGTGGTTGTGTGTGATAAAAACATTCCTTGGGAACTCGTTGTAAGCTGGGAATGCAATAAAAGGGTGTCTAAAAAAGCACGGACAAATCAAGGAAGAAGGATAGAGAATTTTACTGACCAAGTCTCTCCCTACAAGCTTTGACGACACCGGCTCCAACATCCGCCATAAGCAAAGGTTTCCCTTTGTGAAATACAATTGCAGAGGAGCTTGGCTGGCCATGAAGGACGGCTGAAATCAGTTTTAAATAGTGCCATGAGTACACGTCAGTTCATTATTTCCTATGTTTCCTTTTGGAGTACGTTTTACACCTAACATGGAGGTATGGGGAGTAAGGAGGGTTGAGTGGTGTTTGTGGTCGCCATTATTTCATCCTTCAGCGTCAGCCTCGGAATTGGTCGCTAATTATATGAGCTATATCCTTTTTATGATGATTAACATGCACTAGGCAAAATACATGGAACTATGGCAACTTTTTGTGGGTCAAACATAAAGGACCGCCAGTACTCTGTACTAATACATGCCTTTCATGAGTAAATAGATAGGCATAAAAGGCCACAATACGTTTACAGTCATAGGATCTAAGAGCAGAAAGGTGGAGATAAGGGAAGAATTCACTACTCTCTAGACTGGGTCGCAACGTTATGGCTTATAGATAAGTAAAGCAGAGTAGATCTACTCTACTCCGCGAAGACCAAAACCATGTCGTTGCATCAATACCTGTTGTGCCTGTCCCAGTTCCAACGCAGTACAGCTCCACTGAATTTTTGCGTGTGGATATTTTCCCTCTCAGTATGTTGAGAACAAAATGCATCTCGGGACGTGATTTCTCTGGCTTCAGACACTCGACCATAATTTTCTTGAGCTTTAAGGCAAGTTCCTCTCCAAATTCTTCAACAGAAATACCCTGAAAGAAAAATGTGAGTCCATGTTAACAGAAGATTTCGCTAAAGAATCAAACGACAAAGAATGATGATGTATCACGTACATATTGTAATTTTAAACACCATTATCAACAGTTATTGATTCAGTGTCCTGCAGTACTTAATGAAAATTCATTCTGATGGAAAATAACGAAAATTAAGTCCAGTTGAAGGTTTCACGAGTGACACGATTTACTTTTATTAGTATAATTCTGATTCCACAATAATCCTAAACAATTTCTGGCTCTTCACAGTCTATAGTTACCGGAATGGTCGGATTTTCTCCAGCCATTTTCTTGTTGAACACCGTTTCATGCTGCAGTATGTTATCAAACACTTCCTTACCACTCAGCACTTCAATCAGACACAAACCTAGTGGGAGAAGGACAGACGAGTAACTGATAAGGCAACTTTGATGTTATTTTCCCACTGAATCTTGCTTTAACTGTTTAGGTATCTCTTAAGATAGATATCAACTCATTGAGACTGGAACAAAAGCTTTTGACGTTAAAAACTGTTAACTACACTACATATCCCGTTTTTGCATTGCTAACATGAGACTTAATGACTTCAAAGAAGGAGTATTTTTAAAAACTAATTTGTCCAAATGTTGTCCCTTGATCTTCTTCGTGAAACTTTCTGTTCTTTAACCGAAACGGTCTACCTGGCTTGTTCAAATGATACAATCTTGCAATTGATGCCAACCACAATCAATTCAAAGTAAAAGATTGCAGATATCTTGTGGATCGGAACTATTCTAAGTTGATAGCCAAATTTAACTAAAACCAAACAGAAGTACACTAATGTAATCGCAATTCCGTCGAATTTATTTTTAAAGGTTTTTCTCTACTTCCTACCAAAAAGCGGACTATATTCGGCTATCTGATTTCAGAGATAGGGAATGGTCTTGGTAAAATAACAAACAGGCAAACAAAACAGCAAGCAAGTCACCGTTATATCATCATCGAGGCTCACCAAAACTGTGAACATCAGCTTTCTTGGAGTAATGTCCCCCACTGCTGACCACTTCAGGCGCCATGTAGCGATACGAGCCAATCTGGGTTTTTGTTTGACGTGTCCCTTCAGTTGCGCGAGCAAGACCAAAGTCTCCGAGTTTGAGTACTGAGTGGTCAGCTGACAGCTACGAAGTAATGGCGTAAAGAACAGACCTACTTAAACTAGTCACATCACGACGATTAAAATGCGATGTGCAAAATTACCTCCAACGCATTGTAAGAAAAAAAACAAAATAATGGTCAATTTCTTGAGATGACTACATAAGATGGTAACGAACACAGCATTTAAGAGAAAGCCTTTTTGTACCTCGATAAATATAATGTTTTCACTTCTAGATGGTGCAGTCTATGATAGAGACAGTGAAATTATTACACTCACAAAAATGTTTTCAGGTTTAACGTCTCTATGCATGATATTGAGCGAGTGAAGATGCTCAATTGCAGAGCCAATATCCTCTAAGAATCTGACGGCAAAATCTTTCCCCTGTCCGGTTCCATGGTTTTTCTCCAGATATGCTTTAAGATTTCCTCCCGCCATGAACTCCATCACAATTGCCAGCTGATTCTGGATAGAGATGCATTCAAGCACCTTTACAATCTTAGGATGCTTTGCCTCCCTGAAAAAATAAATCAATTAAAATAAGTGCTGTGAAATTCGTCCCTCACTTGCTGGCGCTGTTTGCCAGCGTTAATACCGCGAGAAGAATGGCAAAGTGTCATTTCAAGAATAGGTACATAAAAAACCAAAACAAACCAAGGCGAAAAAAAGAGATGGATTCGAGTCTGTTAGAGCATCGAACCGCCTTCTTTTTAAAAAACCTACGGGCGTACTCTACATCATTACTTTTATTGAGGTCACAATTATTGCAAGAATAATCTGTTTAAGTTGAGATATACGTTTAGAAAGTTAATCAGGTAGGCCATCACTGATTAAGTTTAACAATTCAAGAGCTTAAGGATGGACATGTTGTAACAATGAGGGGAAACCAAGGAGTGGACTTTTATTTTTTATCAGTCAGTTGGAAAGTTGGTGCTCAGCAAGTATCTTTGATCTGAAAATATCTTTCCGCGCTGAGCCCAGAAAAAAAATTAAATTCGATGTTTTGACCCAGCTTGTGGCATTTTAAGGTGTGAGGTTGAGCTAATGTAACATATCAACGTGCATTTTCCATATAGCTAGATTTCTACAAAGATCACCTTTATTCTAACCTCAGTGTGTCCACTTCTCGTTCAAAGTCCTCTATTTGTTTGCGACTCTGGATGTTCTTCAGGATCTTTACAGCCACATCATGACCGTCCTTCTTCGCTCTGAAAACCTGGCCAAAGCTGCCTTCACCTAGTGGATCGAGATAGCCTGGGTCCAGCTTACTGATCACTTTCTGGCTTATGCGAGTCAATGTTTCTAATGCCTCCAGGTCTTTTTTCTGTAAAGATAAAAGCAAGGAAAACATTGGTCAGGTGAACTTTTGGGAGCTTGAGTAGAAGTATTGGTACTCCCCAGCCGGGAAGCAGATCCATTGCATATAGCCATTCAGCACTGAAAGGGTATTGGTAAACTTAAGCCGCTCATGGTCTCCTGATGGAGAGAGGTGCTAAGATAGCAGACAGTTGAAAAAAGGAGCCCAGATTGTTTATGCCAGTGGTAACATAACCCTAAACCCTATATCTTGCTCTAAAATTGTCCATTTTTTCAGCGTCTAGAAATCGGAGATACTTTGCCTCGACTGCCCCTCTAAAAGGAAAAGAACAACCGAGACTAAATGTGACTCACCACAGCAAAACGTGTAATTAGGTGGATGTACAATGGATTTTAAATGTATGACTTTTTCCGTTTTAACGCTACTTGTCCAAGGCCATGCACAACGACAATACTGTTGAACATCTCCTCTCAACAATACGCACATACAACATAGCCCAGTCAGTAACATGTAACCTCATGAAAAGTGAATTATTTCATGAAATACGCTCATTTGCACCGGGTTCTTCGAAGCCCAGGCAATTGATATGTTGCCCTGGCCAGCATTCAAATCTAACGGTAATCTCGCCAGGAAATCGAACAATTTAGCCCCGATCTAAATTCATTGACGTATAAAGTAAACCTGTTAACTGCATACAAGGGTGTTACCAAACTCTGATCATAATGTTTAGGAGCATGAAGATGAAGCAACATACTTCAACTGCATCAATGTTGAATTTTTCTTTCATCTGTGCGTTTTCTTTCATAATCGCTGTGGCGAGTTTCAGAATGGAATCTTCGTTGTTCCAGGCGTTTGCACGGCTTCTCTCGTACACCTTTCGTTTATTCAACACCTCATCCCCGTTTATGTTAATGAGTTGAGCGGCGAATTTTCTATCTTCGGGAGATGAGGCTGTTTCAGCGTAGCAAATAGCTTCATCTGTTCCCCCTGTGCCATAAGAGAAAGAAAATACGGAAACAAACAATCAACGAGAAAAGCGAACGAAAGAAAACTATGAAGACGTTAGCCATTAACATCTATCCTTTACCTCAAACCTTTAAGACACAATGCCGTACTGCTCTAAATTGAGAGCATTCAAATGGTATAACACATTTTTAACAATTTTTTCCATTTTTATGCAAAAACATACTTTCATTTTAACAAATACTGAGACACAAAACCTTTGCAACGTTAAACTTACTTATTTCACCAGTGGGCCTGGCCCAACCTGGTCAATAGGTAGAGCGGAAATCACTGACAATATTATGACAGTATGTATATATTCATGGTTTTTTCTGTCTTAAGAGAGATAACTTTCCATTCAGCTGTTAGTCGATTTTATTCTCTTTAATGATATCAGAATATATACCCACACATGTATTTCCATGAGCTATCATAATTCCAGCTATTCAGTTTTAGGCAGTGCTTTATAGTGACTTTTTAGGTCACAAAAAAGAAGCATGTCATCGTATTTTGAGCTCCGGCTAAGCAGATAGGGCTTAAATAAATAACCAACCTCTGAGGCGGATGAGAGCAAAGGTTTCCTTCTCGACCTCCTGCACTTGGTAAGTTTCCTCATCACCAACAATGAGAATTTCCAAGGTGCTATTACTTCGCATGAACGACTTACAAAGTAGAACGGCCTTTGCGTATTTACTGATGGAAATCTTGCACTTTTGCAGGATTTTCTCTTTTTCCTTTTCAGACGGAGGAGGTACCTTCTCTACTTGCTTCCATCCTCCTATCTCGTTCTTCACTCCGTGGTAGAAGAACAAGGCAGTGACGCTGGTTTTTGATTCAGTTATAAGCTGTGATCATAGAGATAGACCCTCCTTAGTAAACTTCCATGCATCAAAGGACAGATTGTGTAACGACCATCACAATATTTACTCACCTTTATTAGATTGTCACGCCTTCCTTTCATTGCATCCAACGTCCGCTGAACCTTCTCCTCAGAGTAAACGCCTAGATATGAAATAAAGGAATTTTAGGCCATGCAGCCGCGTGAAAAGGAATTATGAGGATCTCTCTGTCTATCCTTCATCTCACTATATCTGTCAGCTTCCTTGTCTTTCTTTACCTCTTTCAGATATCCCATTATAACTACCACAAAGGCAAAAACACTAAACCAAGAATGGACTTTAGGACAGTATGAACGGATGGTCAGGGCGTTGGGCTTGTAATCTGGTGGTTGCAGGTCAAAGCCCTCCTCTCAGCTACTCACTGGAATTGTTCCCACTTGCCTCGACCTCAACTCCTTGGCTGTGCTTTTCATAAGCACCTCGTCTGCCTCCTACCAGATGGTCACGTTCATTCATTTTTTCACTCATTATTCACTCATTTACTCTTATTGTCCCTAAAAAGCCCCACGGGGTGGGGAGAGGGGGTGGTCAATTAAGTATACACACATATACTCATGCATACCTACATACGTACACGCATAAAGACTTAAAGTTTTTAACTCTATTTTGAAATTGAACTTAGGTCGCACCAATAAAACGGCAACTCACCAAAGGGATCTTTCGCGAATATGTCTTGTATGGTGGGACGTGAAATCTTTTCAAAGTACTCGTCAGGCGACAATGCGTTTGTTATATTAATGGTGTGAAATATTATCTCCGAGGCCTTTATCTCCAGTGCGAGCTGTTGCTTGAGATATTCTTCCCTCTGGGTCCGCAGGTAGGATCTTTCGTACACCTGTAGGAAGAAAAAGGTAATAAAACACTTAAATAAAACTGAAAAAGAGGTTATAGCGAAGCGCCCTGAAAAAAAGGTGACTGATGGTTGGGTGCATGGGTCAAAATCAGCTTGCTCTACCAACAGGTGCGTCAGCGTCAATGCTTTGTTATTTGGTTTTTAGATGACTTCAACAGTGGAGAGTTTTTCATCAAATGCATCCAGTTTATATTACCTGTCCTGGTTGTATTTCTGCTTGGATAGTTCCTGTACTCAAGAACTGCACGAATTCCCAGGGTTGTATGTTTGCCTTTAAGGTTAGGAGATTTCCATTTTCATGAAGGTCTGAGTCCTGGTAAGACTCAAACTTGTAATGTTTAAACTGTAGAAAGAACGGAGAATAACGACAAACATATCGATTTCGAAGGAAATTTGATGTAAAGTAAACATGCAAGTAAAGAAAACCACCACGAGCTCTTGCAAATTTCAACAGCTGTCTACCTTGGCATTAACTGCAAATTTTTGGAAGAAATTCTTGTACTCTGGGCGCTCGGGATCACAGCCAAGAAACAGCACAGATCTCTCATTAAATATTTGCTGCATTAATTCCACTTCAGGACCTTCAAGAGTGGTGCAGAAGTCTTCAAAGTACTTCTTGCTACTTCGCTGAAAATAATCAATCAAAATGAGGAAAAGCATATTCAGCATTACAGGTACATCAATAATTGAGAGTAATCAAAGGCAGCAGCGCAAGAAGAAAAGCACCAAAATAATTTTGCAACTGTTTGAATTTAATTACAGCTCTATGGGTTTTCAGTGCTACTTGGTTGAATGTCTGCGCACTCCGCGATGTATTATGACTACGACATCTTGAAGTGGCAAACGGACCAACGAATGGGACATTAAATGCCTGATACTTACCAACGCCCGCACGTTAAAACCACAATCCCCAAAACACTTGATGATCAAATCTCTACGCAGATCTGGCCAGGACTGGGAGAGACAGGAAATCTGGAAGACAGTAAGTAAAGTAGTTGAATAACCCGTCGAATGGCACCAAGTGGCACGAAAGCCTATTAGTTCCTCCCCTTCTCACTATGCACGTTCGTTCTATCATACAGGGCCTTTTTTCGTCTAGGTTGATATTTAACGGGAAATGGGCAACTATCTAGAAAGCTATGGCAAAAAGAATCCATCTTAAATGTTAGGATATAAGCCTGGCTGCAAATAATTCTCAAACGCGAAACCTTTCTTACATTCTTAACCAGATTTGTAAACCAACAGCAAAGTTGTTTGAAGCGAGACCATCAAATACCGTCTGGGATATAGAGACGAACAGAGTATCATTCGTTTCAGAGAAGTGCCCAAAGTAAAGTTTTATAAGGGAAAATCAAAATAAGGCTGCAAACAAAATCACACTTTTGTAAGAACTTTTTGGATCATAAGACCTCTACAAGGTTTGACACAGGAAAAACAAATACTTTGCAACAGATACATTTGAGTCGAATCGTCTTTCTTTTTTACCAACCTGGTCCAGTCGCAGTTTCTCGCCACCGTTCCCAGTCTTCCAGAGAAAGCGCTCTAGCAACTCGTCCATATTGGTGGTTATGATGAGAGGAAACTTCCCAACATTCCGTAGGGCATTGTGAACACGTGACGGTGCCTGCTGAAGATCTCTCAGAAACTTGTCTTCGAGATCGAGAAGTGCATTCGTGCCTTTCTGCAAATTAAGAGACACATGAAGAATTGTACCTTCATATGGGCAGCGAAACCACCAGCAGAATTCTTTTGAGCTCCTCGTTAACATCAAAGCTTGCTCTAGGCAACGTGTTATAATTAATCAAAATTTAAGAAAGGTTTGTGGTTATTTATCGTGAAAAATTCACTGGTAATTAAGTATCGTCGTCTGTGATTTACCATCGTAGCGTTTTCGCCTTAAGACGACTGGTACTATGCCACTGAAACTTCGCGATCTTCAGCGGAAGTGACTTCATTTTGAGAAAAACGATTATACCTCACGAGAGATAATTAACTCTTGCAATTCATTCATAATATCTTGGCTGGCTCCTCCACACTCCCTTCCTTCCCCGAGAGTGCATCCGGAGATACTCCGTTTACACCTACGAGGTGAGAAAACCAGCATAGTTTTTAGTCCTAAATTTTGTACATTATGCATGTCTGTCATCGCGTTTTCGATGCCTTTTGATGGCCAAGCAATTTTAAGATCATGTCAGCCCCTGGTCCATGCCATTACCAACCTCAATGAATTTCTGGATATGAGTCCAATGTCCTAATAATCTCACTTCCGGCTACGCAGTAGACATTCTTACCTCAGAATTATTGAGAATTTGCCACCAGTCATCCAATGAGGGGTCATGCTTATCCGTACTGACTAAAGTCGATACTTGCTCGCCAACAAAGAGCACGAGCTCTCCTTTTACAATCTTGGAGCGTATGGCTTCGAGTTCTTCAGACAGTAGTAAGCGAACATCTGACTTCTGCTTTTCCATTTCAATAACTGGATGCGCAATTCTTGACCTAAAACAAAAGAGATGCAAAGCACTCAATGGCTCGACTCTTCCTTTTTCTTTGTGTGGAAACATGTTATCCGTTCCAATTTTAATTTTTTAAAACCTTTTTTTCGGTATTTGCCGTTGAATGCAGAACGGGAAAAACAGTGCTATGACTTGCTGTCAGATATTCAGAACACGAAAGAAATAAATGTATCTCGCAAACTGGTCTATTCTTCCTCCAAGGGCCTTTTCTCACAAGCGAAAAAGTTGTTTATTTAGACAAATTTTCCGTCATCACTAACATTTTACAAGTGCAGATGGTTTTTCGAAAAGAAAAATTTTGACTGAAGCGAACAAATTTTCAAACGGACCACCGACGAAAATCGACTAAATAAACAAACTCGGGGATTCTAAAATTTTAAAACGACTTAGGATAAATCCTAGAGTTCTAATCCTTTGGCAAATTATGCTGGCCGGTCTTGGAACAGATCATGCGCTGACGGAATCTGAAGGCTTTTAAATTTTTAATGCGGATGTAATAGACGAAACAAAAATTTGAAATGACAGAATTTAATTTGATTTTGTCGGGAAATTCTAGTTCTGTCCAGTAGAGCGGATAGGCCCGAACACCAAATGTTACTTTGGCCTTTGGATGCAATTTCCACAGAGCCAAACTCGTAGTGTTATCAAGGTAGACTTAAACATTGTATATTTCTGTTCTTTCTGCATTGAAAAATAAACGCAAACTCATTCACCGAGATTTACAGAAAACAAAACGTCAAAAAAATTTAGAAAAAATACGTACACAATGCAAACTATGCACACTATGCATGTATCTGCAAACTAATCATGAAAATCTATGAGACCGGAAGTTTGCGAGACCCCTCTGTTCCACTGTTCTTTCCCAAGGTCCGTACCACCTATAATTTTCATCAGATGCTGTTGCAACTTTCACCGGAAGTTGTGTCACACAATTTAAACTGACCTTAGCAAATCGATGCGTACATCTAATGAGTTCCGGTACGCATATGTGAATACTTCCGCGAAAACTGATTCTTAGAAGATACCTAAAGGATAACATTTACTCATATGGTAACACATCTGCACAAACGTGGTAAGGGAATTTTCGTGTAGCAGTGGTGAAAGTCAATTCAATCGTGTCTTCAAAATTAAAGGTATTCTGACTTAATCGTATACATATCTTATTACACGTTTTGGTGTGTAGTCTCGCCGAGTATTTTTACGACTTGTGCCGTACTTTGACGAGACTTTAAGGCGTGTCAAAATACATAAAACAAGTAAAATTACTTAGCGATACTACAACCAAAACGTTTAATATGTTATTTATCATCCAATCATTTTTTTGCGAAGTATTTCTGCTCATTCCTTATAGGGCAGGAAAAGAAAAGTGGAGAGAGAAACGTAGGGCGCGCAGCCGACCAGTTAAACAGGTTTTTTTACAGTACAAAATAACCAACTGTCCAAATAACCGTACAATATCGCAGGGTATTTGTACTCTATTCACGCGTTATTTGAACTCTACTTTGTGCAGTTGGATAATACTGTAAACATTTTCGCGTTTGGTCGATCCTTCTTTACTTTAATTAGTTATTTCACGGACGTGCACCGGAACCTTAGTTGATGTAAATGTGCGGTTTTAGTCTCGAAGGAAGAGGCAAATGAGAAATGATGGCGTCTCTACCAGTAAGCTTTCTTCGAGTCACTTTGTCCGGTAGTAGCAAGTCCCTAGAGTCTCATTTGCGCGGCAGACGAAAACAAAGATGTTAGTCAAAGTAATAATAAGGATATGATAATTTCAAGTTCTGTGTATATTTAAAACATGCTTAAGCGCTTTGAGTAAAAGAAAGAGAAATTGAATTACCTTTCTCTCCGTTTCTTATACCTGTGGATGTCGGCCGTTTCTCTCTTCCAGCTGGAAAATGAAATTGAAGAGTTTTCACTTTCCAAATCCCGGAAGACTTTCGAAATCATGCTCGATTCGTGCCCAGGGCATCTCGAAAGTTGAATACCTCGTTTCCGAGAGAGGAAATGAGGTAAATAAATGGTTACAAATGCATAGGAATGGACTTCAATCAAATCTTTCTCCTGTGGCAGAGTCTGGTATTGAAGAAGTCGATCCAGCTTGCCGAGGTTACTTTAAATTTGGTACGAGTACATCAGCCCTGAATCAACAGAACCTCGAAACGCGACAAGCAACATCCACTTACACAATGGCTCAGCATGTCGCTCAGGCGTTGGACGTAAGTGCATCAGCCTATACCAATTGCATCGGGTAATCACCGTAAACGAATGAGGGGATCACTTCCACCAATGGGCTCGAAATAATAACTAATGGATCACTTGAGCTGCTCTGTAACTTAAAATTAATTGTATGAAAAGGTTTAACTTCTGTTTTGGTCTCCACTCTTATGATACAACACGCACTTTATCCGGAGCAACTTCAGAATACCCCGCAACTCATTTACATGTTATTGAATAAGAATAGCGTCTATTGTGTTATGCCTCGATCTTCAAAGCCTCCCGACACATGTAAGTGAGGCGGAAATGAGTTGCGGGGTATTCTGAAGTTTAGCCCAGATGTGATTGCCATGGTCATAGCACATGGTATGCTTGTGAGATGGGCTTCAGAGCCTCCGTAAGATATGAAAATAAAAAAAAAAAAAAAAAAGATTTTTAATTGTAAGTGAATACCTGTTAAAGACGGCAGTACTCACTCTGATTTTATCTGCCAGTTTAAATTAGCCACACTCAGCTATGATTACAAGATTAAAGGTTCATCCTGGTGGGAGCTATCCTAGTTTCAATTACCTGAAGCTACCAAGAGTGTAGCTCAACTCCCTCTTAAATAGGATGATATTCCATTGCACCTACCTCCTCTCCCCCACAATTTTATCAGGTTCCTGCCAAATTTTTTCCCTGCAAATTTACTCAGACCCTAGATTGTCAACCCCCCTTGCTTGGAGAGATTGGGGACAGTCTGAACAAGAACAACTTTGTGACCAAGCTTTGGCTACAACCCCAGCCTTTTGGTCCAGAGTCCAGCTCTGTTTATCCACTTGTCAATGACCTGATCCCCTGACTAGACCAAGCTCACTCACAGGGGCCTAACTATACTTTTTTGGTCTGGAAAAAAGTTGATTGTGTATGTTGGTTGTCTGGGTGAGAGTCGTCCTGAGAAAGACTGTTGTGGATTTACTAAGTAGCAAATGACATTCTGACAACCCTAGCAGAAGTTATCATCAGAGTTAAACAAAGAGTTGTTGCCAGTCAAGTTATAATAGTGGTCCATGTAAACTGACTGGCCAAGGTTGCTGTGATTTTATGGGCTGCATCTGAACCCAAAAAATATAAATTAAATGAAATTAAGATAATTGCAATGTATTACTTTTGTTTGGTATCTTATTTATTGTCAAATGTGTAAATGTTTTCCCTATTAGGATGTTATCAGTGAGACTGTGGACATTTTCCACAAATACTATAAGTGTGACTATCCAAAAAGCCCACAAGTAAAGGATGGATTGAAGCATCTTCTAAATGAAAGATACAGAGATGATGTCCATAGCTTCATTGACCACTTTGTTCATCCCACACAAAGTCTTCTTAGCAGTTTGGAGGAAGAGGCACAGTATAACTTTTGCTCTAATTAATCATTTTTTTTTGTTATTTTACACTGTAGTTGGGATGAACTTTGGAATAATGGTAAATAATGTACATAGTGTAATGATTTGCCATGGGTGAGGGCTGAGCCTTGCAATTACATTGTACTACCAAAGTTTAAATGCTATGAAACTGTATAGTTCAGTTGTTTCCAGAGTGACACTGGTTGTTCAAGACATATGAATATTATTGCGAAAAGACTGTTTTAGGTGTTCTAAGTTTTAAAAGCAGCTCTCAAAGTTCATCTTTCTAAATCATAGTGCTCTATAGCTCAAGTGCTATCCTTGCCAAGGCAATTACACTACTGTAGCATGTTGCATCATTCTGTGTCCAAATATGAGTGAGATGATAAGAAAACTCAACGGAGATTTAGTTACCAAAAATCTGTGTAAACTCAGCTATGTAGCCAAATGATCCCTTACTACACGTGTTACATGAATATGAGACTGACAAGCATGACCTCATGACTTCTTATGTCATGCGGCACAACTACATGATAGAGTTTTAATTGTTTTAATATAAAGTGATGATCACTCAGTTTTATATTTTCCACTATAGAAGTTTCCCCTTTGCTTACCCAATGGCAAAGTAGTTCTTCATCTGGTTCCTCCTATGACCAAATTGGCAGTTGGGGAGTTCTTTTACCAGGTGGGTCTCATTAGAACAAGTGGGTTCAGTAATAATGTATATGGACTTGTATTACAATAGCTGATAATGAAACTACTATCTGAAATGCCCACATGTACTGTTGGCAGTTCCATGTCAATCAGGCATTTTGAAACTGATCTTGTGACTTTTTTCTTCTTTTCCACTGTCACGTGTAGGTGGGCCATACTAATCCACGCACTTTAGTTGTTAAATTTGCAAAATATGAGCAGAGAGGGACTAAAGTGAATGAATTGCAGCGCTCATCAGTTCCTGAAGATGACCATGACATTGCGTTCACCAAAGAGTACTTTGACCAAATAAGGGGTGAGGTTCCGGATGGACTGGGAGATGTTCTGATGCGTACCCTTGTTGTGATGGGTAATCCAAACTGGACGGTTCAGAGAGAGGGTGCGGCAAATCACCTTGGGAATGTAAGTTGAATTGTGGTAATTTCTTTTCTATCTTGTTCGTTCATAGCAGATTTAATAATGATCAAGAGAGAGGGGAAAGTGAAAAATTATGAAGGGAGCTGGGAAGACAAGGCAAGGAATATGTAATAACCATCTGTTATATGCAGAAAATAAAGTTACGCTTCTCTTTTGAACAAATAGCTAAAAGTGGCCTATCAATGTTTTCGAACAGTCAGAAGATCACCTGCCCAGAATAGATTTCAAAATATTAGAGAAAGGGTGTGTTGTTTGAATTAGTGTGTATCATCGCACTTTGGAGTTAATTATACATGAACTACTACAAAATTATGGTGAAATTGGCCATGGTAGAAGTCTACACTACTCTGTGCAAAATTTTGACAACATTTCTGAATTCTCAGTTCATATTGATCAGTTATTGATTCCTAAAGACTTCATGCCTCCTCTAGAGAACTTAGTGTTCCCTGTATTGTGTGGCAAGACCAAGGGAAAAACAGACTTGTGTCTTACCTGATTTAATGAATGTTTCATCATATTCATAAGTCATATTCATTTGTAAATATATTACATGAAAAATATATTAATCAATAGCAATGTCTTCCTTAGTGTCCAACAGAAAGGCGTAGCAGGTTGAGGTCAGAGTCCCATCTGTCTGTTCAGGAAAGCTGTGATGATGATTCAAGCATTACGTCAGAGCCCAATTCTCCAACAGAAAATGATGATGTTTACCCATCAACAGATGGGGTATTTGTGCATACCAATGGTGGTGACAAAGGAAAATAAATATCTACTAACTTCCTCTTTAACCCCTAAGCAACTTATTTAGCTTCATTGTTATTTGTTATCAGTGTTTATTTGCGATGTAAAGGTACAGATGAGTACATGTACAAGTATTAGTTAACCCTTTAACTCCCATGAGTGATCAAGGCAGAATTTCTCCTCACATTATCACTACAATATCAAATAGAAAAGTGATGAGAAAAATGAAAAATATCAATTAGGGATGATTGGTTGATCCAATAACAAATTCTCTCAACTAACATAAAGATAATTGTATGGCTGACAGAAAAGAGAATTAACAATGACATCTTGGGGTGAATTGGTTAGGGATCGATGACATTGTGGAGTGACTGATCAAATCTAATTGGAGACTTTTTTATTACTTTTCATGTTAGGATGAATAGGTTTCGTTTTAAATAAACCAGCCCTGGTTTTATTTTCAAATTCAAATTTTTATTTAAGGTTCCATGCATTATTTTCTTTCTAAAGATGCTTTAAGAAAGTTTATTTACTACTGGACACTTAATATATATAGTTTTTCCACAATCATAATATATTAGTAAATATTTCATCTCCATGAGAAACAGGGGTTTTAAGTATGTTTATTGGACTTAAACAATTTTAGAAGTTGAAACTGTTCAAATATGTTAATTGTAAAACAAACCTTCCCAACCACAGTTAGACTGTGTATATTTGTTTAAGTTGATGGTCAACTTTGTTAAGTTAAATTCTTCCACTGCCTTTTTGTGATACTAATAAAGGATGTGTCACACATATCTGGTGTAATTGTTGAGTTTAAGTTTCATAATTTATCTGTTCATTTTCTTATCTTGACTAACTCTAAAAATGGGTAGCTACAGGTGGTCAAGAATCCACAAGAACTGTTTGAATTAGCCTTAACAAGGCTCTTAGAATGACATTTAGGAGGAAAGATAAGGAGGTCCTTCCTTTCCTGTCCTTAGTGTCCCCTCATTTTTCCTCTTAGTTTTCCCAACTGTTTCTCATCCTCAGAAGCTGACTTCTGGAATAGGCAACAGTTATAAAACCTGTATTTTGTCAAAAAAAAATGTTTGAGGAGTACCAGTAAACAAAAATTATTTTCATAAAATTCTGTTTCCATTGTGTTTAAAGAATAACAATAATTGAGATGATTTGGAATTTAAGATTTCGAGCCAAATTTCTGAGCCAGGGACTTGAAATTTTAAATTTGCCAATAGTAAATTACTCCTCCACGGGAAAACGGACACTAACGCTTTTCCGTTAAACGGTCTCGAAAAACGATTGTAAACGGATAGTAAACGGTTAACTCGAGCGTTTAAACGGATGCCATAACCGCTTAAACGGATGGCAAAAAGTTTAAACGGTTGACCAAAGTCCAAAAACGGATAGCTTTGGCCTTCAAACGGTTGACCAAAAATAAAAACGGATAGCACGAAACGTTAAACGGTTGACCAAAGTTCAAAAACGGATGGCTCACACTGTTAAACGGTTGACCAAAAATAAAAACGGTCAGCCCGAAACGTTAAACAGTTGACCAAAGTCCAAAAACGGATGGCTTAAACCGAGAAACGGTTGACCAAAATCGACAAACGATGAGCTTAAAATTAATGCTTAACGGCTGTGGTTGAGCCGGCGAGATCTTCTGCGGAAAAACTTTCAGAGTGACAACGGATATTTATCCTTTAAAGCGAAAATATTGAGCATGATAATTTGAAAAGTAATAACTAGCATATACTTGCGCATTTTATTTCTGGGTTAATTACTGCCGCTTTCGTGTGACATTCATGAAATAAGCGCAATTTACTGAGAATAGTTTCGCTGCCGAATATCCTGAACGGCTACCGCGAGAAACTCATAATCTTCTCCTTTGTTTATTCTTCATTTCTTCCTGTTCGGAAGTTTCGCGAAACAAATTTGCATATGCAATGCCGCCACCTTGTCTGAAGCCGAGACCTTTCAAGGTCAAATAACGCAATGAAGTTCCATTGCAAATAAAAGGTCGAATCGGTGTCACGCACCAAGCGGGGCCGTTAAAATGATTGTCAATAAAACCAAGAATGATGAATCAAGATGATATAAACAGAAAGAGAGTAGCCGATTTAACTTGTTTGTCAAAGGATGCGACGGAAACTCGCTTACTATGATCACGCAAAAGATAAAACCAAAATAAGATACGGTCTTTCTGTATTTCAAGAACCGGCGAGTATCGAGCGAACGTAAGATTGATACTTCGAACTGCCTATTACAGAATGATAAGCAAACAGTCCAAAGCTTTCCGTGGAACTTTAAACGGATAGCTTTTTTTTTTTAAACGGGTAAGCAAACCGTTTAAATGTTTTTGCTAGAGCGTCGAACGGATGCAAATTTTTTTAAACGGATGCAAATTTTTTTAAACGGATGAGCAAACCGCTTAAACGTTTTGGCAAAAGCGTTAAACGGATGCAAATTTTTTTAAACGGATGAGCAAACCGCTTAAACGTTTTAGCTAAAGCGTTAAACGGATGCAAATTTTTTTAAACGGATAAGCAAACCGTTTAAACGCTTTCATGAACCGTTTAAACGGATATAAACGGATAGTAAACGGTTTTGCAGCTTAAACGGAAAAGCGTTAGTGTCCGTTTTCCCGTGGAGGGTCACTAATGTTTTGAAGCTAAAATGTAAACTGCAAAGTCATAGTAATTATTCAGACTTGATCTTCTAAATAATTGATGTGACTTTTATGTGCAGTCAGCAAATACCTCAAGAAAGGGCTTGAAATTCCCATCCCCCCTTGCATTATGATCATCAAGGATGGCAAAAGAAATGTGCTTATATCTATTGGCAAATCTGCCTTCGGACAATACATCCTTGAAAAGCTGGGCCATGTGACTTGCAGGATTTCTAAATGCTCCACAGCCAAGAGCTGAGAGAACCAGTGAGTCATGACCATAATACAGACCAGCTGACAACAAGCAACGTATCTTCTGTTTTGTGTTCTCAGCAATCAATGGAATGAGTTTCTTCTTGTCTCTTGTTAAGGTGGGATTGGGGTATGCTGGTAGGGCCAAAAAGGACATTGGAACAGGGTTGGCAAGAAATTTATATCCTTCAGCTTCAGATGCTCTTATGATGAACACATTTTTTGAGTAGATGCATGAGAACTCTGGAATTCTGTATTTCCACTCTCTTGTAGGATCAAATTTTTTTTCTGGGTCTGCTAAATGTTGCACATAATTTGTACGACGGAACAAGTTCTCCTCCTGTGCGCCTGCTCCTGATAAGTAACCTCCCCCTAAAGATGCAAACAAACAAAGAGAATAAGAAAGGCTATGTAAATATAGTGATGCACCTACATGTGTGTAGGATAAAAAATACATTTACTAGGTTAAGTTTCAAGAATAAAGGGGTAAGTTTCTAAAGAAACTGTGGTGCTGCGTCGGTGGGAGAGTAACAACTGGGTTGCAAACGTAAATAAGCGACCGCAATGGGTAAAAAAGCTGACGTTTCGAGCGTTAGCCCTTCGTCAGAGCGATTAGAATTGCTCTGACGAAGGGAAGGGCTGAAGGATATAAATTTCTTGCCAACCCTGATGAATCGCTCTGACGAAGGGCTAACGCTTGAAACGTCAGCTTTTTTACCATTTACGATGGCTAATTTACGTTTTCAACCCAGTTGTTAACACTAAATTACCTGCTAAGTTTCAAGAAACCTCCCCCACTCTTGACAGAGGGAGACAGATTGTGAAAAAAACTATGATTGTGTGTGGAGAGGGGGTAAGTGGTGTACTCTAAAGTGTGAATGACAGGGGTGAGTATCTTACCATTCATGGATCAATCTGTTGATAAATCAATGTTTGCTAACGGCAATCAGAATTTGTATCCAATTGATACAAAACTGGTCAAGGGATTATTCGTCAATACAATGTATTTCGATAGCTGATATATATCTTAAACATAACCATTACCACACTTGACCTAGAAGTAATTTTTCCACTCACCCGGTCTTTTTGGTGAAGCCATGTTCAGGACAGCTGGGTTAAATCCCTTATTCTTCAAGCGGATGGCTTCCTCGAGACAATCTGCATTGACGACTATAACCTCGGTTTTAAAACAACTATCCTCATCTCCCTTTACATGTCTTCCTGGGGGTTCTTCATCAGTGTAAAGCGTAGTTTCTCTTGCATCTCTCGAGACACTTTCGTAATTTGAAAAAACGACCTCGGAGCCGTCTTCCAAAGTGTATTTGAAGCTTTCACATGCTTTGAGGGTTTGTTGCATTATTTCCGATCTAAGTTCTCTAAAATTTTTGGAAGATCGGAATTCTGAAAGCCATGCCTTGTGGTCAAAAATAACTCCACCTGCTCGCTTTGAGGCCATGTCGATACGATGATGATGAGTTCTGTTTATAGCTGATGCAGTTTTTGTATTTATATACCATATATGCTTCTTAGTTGCATCTTATCCCTTCTTGCCTGTGCAATCGTAGACGTCCTAATCAACCAGGCGTTCCATGCATTTTGATCAGCTGGTTAGCTTATTAGACCCAGGACTTCCAAGAAGCGAGTCGCACGGACGTTGGTGGCCATTTTGAGCAGAAACCTCTTCCTTCAACCTCAACATGGTAAAGTAAACCGTGTCCGTGGCGTGGATCGTTGGTTTTATTGCATAAATTCTTGAAAATTTCTGTTCTGATCTGATCTTATTTACATCAGGGTAAAATGAAGAAGACGAAGAAGTTTGCTGCGGTGAAACGAATGATTTCACCGAAGGATATGAGAATGTAATTATCTACACCATGTGTGTTTCAACTCTGTTTTATGGGACGATATCTGTGCTTACAGTTTCTGTGCTGAGTATCTACTCATGGCTAACTTGGATTTGATATCATTTTTGTCCTAGAAAAGAAAATCAAGAAAAAGAAGAAGCGAAAAGGAAGAAGAAAGAAGACGAGCAAACTCGCCACGTGTATGTAGATTATATATCAGAAGTAAATGATCGGTTTGAACTCAGGGGTTACATTCAGTCTTAAAGTTTGCTTTCTTGTTCGAGGGAAGTCCTGAGAAAAACTGTGGTCTGTGATAGAGACTGATTTTTAGACATAGTTAGTCGAGTGGATGACATCGTCAGAATCTTCATTCAAACAGCTGTTCAGTTGGTTTTTTTGTCTGAACAACACTAACCTTGAAATGAACTGCGCGTCACCGTATGATTTACCGTAGTCAAAAAGTCAGTCACTGTTCCCAATAGCAATCTCTTTAAGGACTGCTTTACATATAGCTATAGGGTCTAGGTATTAGTTTCTTATAATTATACTTTAATCTTTGATTTGTTTGTTGACCCTTTACACCCAAATATCAGTATGCATATTCTCCATACTGTTTTTTATACATTTTCTAAGGTGCTAATAAGAAGAATTTTGTATCACTGGTGATAGTTTCAGTTATTCTCATGAACCTGAAGGTGTGATTCAGGGGTGATCTTTTAAGGATAAATTAGATGCCAATCCCTCTTATACCATTTCATGAACATTGATAGGGATCAATCAATCAATTAGTAGAATGCAATTTACAGTAGTTTTTTGTTCTTCCTTTCTGTGACAGGGAACAATCATCATCTGCCTTGTTCTTTCAATACAACACTCAACTTGGGCCTCCATATTATATACTGGTGGACACTAATTTTATAAACTTCTCCATAAAGAATAAACTGGAGATTGTGAAGTCTATGATGGATTGTCTATATGCAAAATGTAAGTCAACAGTCCCTTCATTCCTTGAATGGGAACAATAGAAAAGGAACAATGTTTTCTTGTCCATGAAAAAAAAAACAACAACACTATAGTCCCTCTACTCTAGAAGCAAAAGTAATAGAAAATATAGATCAAGATCACAGTTGGTGAAGGCAATCAACTTCTAGCATCAGTTTGAAAGGGTTGAAAAGTGAAAAGGATGGGTAGCAACCACAGCTATATTGGTTCCTTTTCTTGGATTCTGCTATTAGCAGCTTGGAGTCTCTAGCTTTCAGCAGAGATTTCATTTTTTGTCAGGTTTCAGTCAAAGCAAATGCTGTCTGTTAGAAGACAGTCTTAATTTGTTAATACAGCTTTACTGCTTTTATATTTCAATTTTCATCATTGTTTGATTTTGGTAAAGAAGAGTTCTGCAAATTTTGGAAGCTATATGCATGTAACAAAAGGTTTGTAAGCTGGACATGAAGGGAAAAAAATGAAATTCCATACTATAAAATGAACTTACAAAACGTGTGTGGCTGTACATTGTATAAGGACAATGATGATGATTTGCACTGGGTTATGAGTCAATGATTCCTTTGCATCACTGAATTGATTGATGTACTTGTACATGTGCAGTTTTCAAATGTATCTCATTTTCCTCTTTGATTGTAAGTAACATGCTCTTATATCATACCTGTTCAATTGTGTCAGAGAGAAACACTGTACATGTATATCCACCATTTATTTGACTTTGTACATTTTCCCTCACAGCATATTGGAATGTTATGATATAGATCATATTTTTTAAATTTTATTCAGGTGTTCCATGCATTACTGACTGTGTAATGGCAGAGTTAGAAAAACTGGGTCCAAAGTATAGAGTGGCACTTAGGTAAAGTTACATTGTTTCTGACATCTACGTGAATGTTGTTGTTTCATAATCCATGAGTAATCTCCCCCTTTTCAGCAATATCATATGCATGAGTCGAAAAAAGACTCAGTGAAAGACAACAAAATGGATGTAAATGGGCTGTTCAGAACTCTGGGTGTGAGGTGTACAAAGAGTAGTCCTGTGTGTTGTGCCAAGATCAAATTTTTCTTGCTGATTTGTTTTTATCACTTGTGTGACAGACTCTGCCAAAAAGGGGATTGCCCATAGTTTAGTGGTCTCATGCACACTGTTGTATTCTTTCTGTAACTCTTAAGCTTTTTATTTTAAAAAATAAATTCAAGGAACAACTCATTCCAACAACAGCACCCAGAATTCTATTCCAAAGTTCCATCTGTAATTCCAATTCCAGGAAGAAAAAAAAAAGTGATATATGAAAAGTTGTCACATCTGTTGTGCAAAGATGCCAACAGTTTCAAAGAAAACAATATGTAATACCAAATAGTATGTGCCATACATGTATACGTGTCTTTACCCTGGCAATTATAAGAATATTATTTGTGCTTCTATCCAGGCAACTAAAACAAAAAACGACTTTTGTTTTCCCCAGAATGGCCAAAGATCCTCGTTTTGAACGCTTGCCTTGTATGCACAAAGGAACTTATGCTGATAACTGCATAGTAAACAGAATACAACAGGTAAGGTTACTCATTCCTTTTTTGTTTTAATTTCAACATATCTTGGACTTGTTTTCTTTTTCAAGGCTGTATTGCTTATGAAAAGGTAGTTTTTGGTCTTCTATTGATACTTCCTGTGGCAAAGACTGGACCATCTTAGGGTGTCGTTTTGGAAAGCTAAAGTCAATATTGGTAATAATGATGATTTGCACTGGGTTATGAATAGAATGATTCCTTCTGCATCACTGAATTACCATGGAGAATCATCATTTTCAAGTTAATATGTACTTGCTGGACATCATGTATTTGCATCATGTATTAGCCTAAATGAAGTTTGTCTAAGGTTCCTTGATTGTTTGTACAGGGTGTACATTTAGACAGTGATTTAACCTTTTGTCTACCAAGATGTACATGTGCGTTTTAAATATCAATCCTCTGCCCTGCCTTGGAAATTTTTGTTCTGATAGTTAGTTGAATCTTTGTTCCCAATACATTTAAATATAATGCAATCCTGTGGAGAAATTCCTTTTTGATTACTCACAGAAGTAAAGTGCCTTATTTCAAGCTCCTTTATTTCAGTTTTATGCTTGTAACTGAATACCTGAAATTTTAAAACAAGCCTGCACTCAATTTATATCAATTTCTCTCAGAGCATGTGTATTTAGTATCTTTTGAAACATGATATAATTACTGGCATGATAGGATTATTGAGGAAAGACTTGATTTGGTCTGCTAAAATTTCACATTTGCTGGAGGATACTTTACATAAATTGCCCATTCCGTTATGTCATTTTTTTTTCAGCACAAATGTTATATTGTGGCCACATGTGACAGAGATCTGAAAAGAAGAATACGCAAGGTTCCAGGAGTCCCCATCATGTACATTTCTCAACACAAGTTAGTCAAATTGTTTTTTTGAAAATTAATTGCGTGTAATTTTTCTTTGTACTTCTTGTACATGCTATTAATGCCTTGTGATAGAAGATTGCAGAATGAGATTGCAGAATGCTAACCTATGGGGGAGAGAAAGTTGGAGAGTTTGCAGCTTTTAGATTGTAAGATGAATGTACTTGCATCATGCTCATTTGGACATCTTGTGCATATTGTGCCTGTATGTTATTTTATCTTAAAAACCAACATTCACATGTAAGTTTATAAAAATGAGGGGAGGGTTGTAACAAAGATAGAAAATATATGGCCAGCGTTTGCACAATACGTGGAGAGTTAGTGTCGTAGCTCCTCTAATAGTGAGCTTTAATCTAATCTTGTTCAATTTTAGGTACACAATTGAAAGAATGCCTGATGCATATGGAGGTAACATTTGTTTCTTATGATCCTTTAATGCCGTTCCTAGGTGTCTCTCACCAAATGTGATAGGTTGAACGTTTTACAAAATATGTAACTTGGGAGCTCTGCCCTCTGATCAATTTGAAAGGGATTATTCACGTTGAAATTTTTAAGAACTTATTTGTAATTAGGGCACAGGAAAGATAGTTTGTTAGGCTGGAGCTCATCAACATTTTCCTCTTCCATTTCAGCACCAAGAGTATAGGCAGACAGGGTGTTTTGAGAACATTCTCGTGTGGTCTACGAGATGTCACCTCTTTGAAAGACGTGTCGGAATTACAAGTCAGAAGATGTGCGCATTCTGACGATGTGAAGCTATGCGTGAAGGAATAGAGTAAAGGACAGTCACCTACATGTCTGCTATGTTCAACCAGCTATAAAAAATATTGGAGAACGTTAAGTTTATCTTAAAGAATCGTGAACCATAAACTTTGGAAGAGTCTGGTTATCTTTAATCTCTCTTTTCGTGAATATTCATGGCACCCTATTGGTAGCGAATGAAATTGAAATGGTTATTGGTGACTTAGCATGTTTTCTTTTGTGAAAGATTCATTAAATTAACTTCTTCTGTGACCAGCTGAAGTTATAGCAATCTCAGAACTCACTTTATTGATTGGACAGATGTAAAACAAAGCCATTGTTGTTGGTTACTTTTGAACAAAGAAAGTAAAATTTGAATAAAAGACCTAATTAATGTTGATAGTACTAGTTTTTAAAAGAACTTTAGTTTTCTGGCAAAAAGATTGCAAAAAAGTAGAAATGAATATGAGATGCTGAAGATCTAATAAAAACAATACAACATTAAAAGGTAAATTTGATTAAAGAGAAAGAAATAAAAACTGGACTTGTCCTATTATAATTCTGTGTATCTAAAACCCCCCAAAAACCTTTTTTTTCCGTTATTAAAAAGATCATACCTTGAAAACTATATTTCCATTTTGAGTGCACTTTTGTTCATCAAGAAGTCGTGCATTTTGGTAGGGTCTTTTTTAATTCAAAAGAAGTGGCTCTTTTTTTACTGCTTTTATTGATATTTGTCATCAAAAGAAACCGAATTTGGAAAAGGACCGTGAAAAATTAAGACATACCGATATGTTCCCATGTTCTTCTCCATATTTCGGAACTTATAATTAAATTTGTCTTTTTGTGCTCGAGGCTTGAATTTGGCGCCAAAACAGCTCGCGCTTTTTCACGCGTGATCACCGAGCAGCGTCATGATTGGAGATTTTCCGTTTCCATAGCAATTCCAACTGTCCAGCGCAGATGTCAAGTTTGAACAGCACATCTTCCTAGGAGACACGAAGACAAAAGAACAACAAAAGTATACGCGGAAAAATGTCGGCAGCTGAATTAAAAGCATTTTCTGAGTCTCCAACTGACAGTTTTAAAGATAGTGATCAATTTAGCATCAAGGTTAAACCTAAATGCAATTGAATTTAGCGTATTTTTAGAGGGAAATTTTATTAACTCAAATCCATGTGTATTGCTGCGTTTTCATTCAGGCTGATGTATTGACAGAAGAAAACGAAGATGAAGAAGCGGTTGAGGCGAGCGAAGGCAATAATGGATTTTTCATAAAACACGGAACTTTCATGGGAACAGAAAATGAACAAATGACCTCGCAAGCCTCAGATATGGCTTCCAGTGACAGTGACTACGACACAGACCTCGAAACGGAAGGTAACCGGAAAAAAAAAATCACAATTTTGATATGAAGATGAAGGTCTTATCGGCTCTGCTCTTTAATCATAAGTTCGCTCTCTTAATTGACAGCTCATGCGTAAACAGTATGTCTGTTTATTATTTCTGATTGGGGAGAAGTTTCACATTGAGGTTCAATTTCTGTTTTGATTCTCTTAGCTTTTTAATAACAGATTTTTAATATTTTAAATTGATGGCAAATGAACTTGAAAGGATTTGATTTGCATAAAGTAGAAATTACGAAAGGTCACTGTTGTCAGTAAGAAACGAGAAAAAGTCATTTGCGGTAGTATCACAAAAAATCCGGATGTTTTGGACGAGAAAACATTAAATTTAACACAATTTGAATTTTGGTTACGGTAGTTCTGACTGGAAGAAATATTCTAAACATGCTTAAGAAATAATTTGTCCCTCTTCAGTCATTAAAAATTTCCCCGTCGCTCATTTCAAATTAATTTGTTTGAGAGAGAAGAAACAAGATATACACACTAAAATTACATTAAAGCAGAATTACGTTGGAGGTGGCAAATATCACGAAAACCTCGGACAAATAAGAGAGAAAATGCAAAACTAATTTGCATTTGTAAACACTCGAATCTTGCGCCTAATTTTAAGGATTCGTTTAAAAAAACAAATCCTTTCAAATTTATGCTTTCTAGCAAAATCTCCAATTTGCATAATGCTACATTCGCAACTAGCAAAATATCTTCTTTAGTGATCTGGTTTAGAAAGTCTCTGCCTTTCCCTTCCTAACGTCATCCTGGAAAAAGAAAGTTAAAAAAGCCGCGAAACCGAAAAGAAATATAGCTTTATGTAAGAAGCAGCTGAAGTGTAATCCATCTTTGGCTGTCTCTTACGGTTTTTTCAGGCACAAAATAGATAATTATCCAGTGAGCGCATTACACAGACTCGGTTAGAGTGTTCCGCTGTATTCCGAACAGTAGATATGAAAGTTCCCGAACCTTACTCTGAAAAGAAAAAAAAAAAACAGCAAATAATAAAGAAAAAAAGAGAGATCAAGATTTTGTTTACGCAAGCTGCGTAAAAACTCTCCCTCAAGAGATATCAGACCTTAAACGGCAAGTACTTGTGTTTTGACTTTTTTGACTCCAGTAAATGTTCATTTCAATCGCATGTAGAATCCTTAGCGGCCGTCAGCCACCAAATTTAATTCCTTAAAGCCCTAAGGCGAGACATCAATTCCGTGTAATAGTTGGAAATTTTATCGCCCTTGACCGACTATAATCAACCCCTCCATGGCCTGCAGTGAGTCTGCACAACAACCTCTGGTCAGTGTTTTCAAATTTGACACGGTACGTATTTTTGAAACTTTACAGAGCAATCAGAGAAGTTCGATACCACCGGCAAAAAGGTCTACCTTGCTGCCTGTAAGTGTTTGGATATAACACCTGTTTCCTTTTTCCTGAAAAATATCCAAGAGAAACGACTCAATTTTAGGCATCGTTTATTGGGAGCCAAAGGAGGACAAGCCCTTGCACTCGCTCTAGAGGTAAAGTATTTTAACGTACCGTACTCTTGCGCTTCTTCATCTCAAAACTTTGCTTTTTTTTTTTCTTATCAAAGATGTTCGATCGCTTGTCGCTGGAATTACACCCTCTTCACGCAGCGCTCTTAAACATGCTCTTAAATTCTAAAACGAAAATCTATCAGTTCCAAAAGGGAATTTCATGAACTCCTTTTACGGCTTTTTGCTCAAAATCTTAGCATACATTGAGTAGGGTAATCTATAGCATGCATGATATTTACCCTCTCTGGTAGAGAACAATCTGTCTGTTACAGAAAAATTCGTCTTTCGTAAAGTACTTTTTGTGTTTCTGAGAGAATAAATTGCCTGCAATCCCAAAGGTACTTATCGCCACAGTATATAGTTTTGGATGTGCTAAAAATTGGATGACTATAATCACCAGGAACCCCTCACTCGGCTGTGACGGTCGGTTATAATTTGTACTCACCTGATGCCGCACTGTCCTGTCTGTATCCTGATTTTGCAGTATGTGTTTCCTCATAACAATGAGAAATGGACTCATACAGGTGGTTGGCCGATTATAACTCCTGATCATTTCATGCCTGTTCCTTTTATGTAGCTCAACACAACCTTAGCCAGTTTGGACCTCCACGAAAACTACTTGGAAGGGGAGGGTGGAGCGGCTATCGCAGCAATGCTCAAAGAAAACTGCTACATCACAGAACTGGTAAGTATATAGAGAGGGTGATCGCATAAGGATATCGGCCTAGCTCACGTTATCGAACTGAAAAAATAAAACTGTCTCGCTCTACTCCTCATCCAATCAGTGCGTGTTTTTTATTCCCTTCATTTTCTATATTTCCTTTTTGGTTAAATGGAGGATAGGGGAGCATTTAATTATAGATGAGGCCTGTTTAAACAATGGCAAGGCCAGACCGCAAAACTGGGGCTTGAACCTTCAATTCTGGTGCTCTACGAATGATATTTGTAATGGCGAAAAGGGAATGTGAAATGTTTCTTTTGTGTATTAGCACAGCGGCGAACATTACAAGGCTTTTTTGATTAATCTAACAAATAAAGATCCATAAATGCCGCGTCTAGACAAAATTGAACCTAAAATAAAGTAAATGTTTGTATTAAATTAGTGTCCGAATTGTCGTGTTTAACGAGCCCATCTGCCATTAAGAGATATGCTAATATTCCTCATTTATATCGCTTCTCTTAGTTCTTTGTAGGATTTATTTCCTTCATTCTTGACAGGAAACGTTCTATTGCACTCACAGTCAGACAAACTTCCTCACCCTCCTCCCCCCCTTCAACACGGTATTTAAAGACTCTCTACACCGACAATTTATGTCAATAATAATATCACTATTTGGTAGGCTGGAACAGGAATGTCAGGCAAATCAGTGAGTGTATTTTTGCATTCACGGCTCCAATATTATGTACAAATATGACCGGAATGTTAGTTTCCACCAGAAGCCCGAATATTTCTGGTGTAAGCAACTTCTATTTCAGGGTCCCGGAGTAAGCGATAAAACTTGATTGGTTCCCTGTTTGCGTTGCGTGATCGGAAGCTCTTTTTACAGAAGGCCAAGTGGCAAAACCGCTTGACCATGGTGATCCCAACGTTTTGACGCTACTTTTTTACGTGGCCGCCATGTTTGTTCAGCTGTCCCCTCAAGGCGCTGAGCTAGAACCCAGACCTCCCGCTATAAATGTTCCTTATTGGTTGATTGAGTTGATTAAGTGATTACTAAAGTGATTTACCCCCAACTCTCTCGATGGGTCAGCTTCATATTATCCATTTGCCGATTGATCGATTAATTGATTTATTGACTCAGAAACTGATCGTGCGATTTACTGACTGACTGACAAACCCGTTTACTGGTTGATTAATTGATTGATTGACTAATTTAGAGATTTATTTAATTATCAGTTAGCTAACTAATCAAATGACTGATTGATGTTTCTATTCATTACTGTCAAATTAAAGGATATATCTTCAAACAAGCTTGGTGCTCATGGCTGCATGTCGATGTGTGATATGCTACAGAATAACGTCAGCTTACTCAAAATTGACCTATCAGACAACGGTTTTAGTGACAAGGATACTGTTTCTTTGCTTGACGCTTTCAAGGTAAGCTGAAAACTCTTTAATCATGTATCCAAAAGAAATTAATGCAAGACCTGCCAAAAGCATAGCAGTAATCGGGCTTTCTTTTCGCCAGTAATTGAACCATCAGTTTTAATTCAATCATTGTTTTTATCCCAGGGAAACGACAAGGTCGCCTGGATGAACCTGAGTCACAACAAGTTCTCGGAGAGGTCTGGGGAAAATCTGGGTCTAGGAATAAGTATGAACCACAGTTACGCAGCTATTCCATATTTACTTTTTTCTAACAACTTCTTGCGATAATATTGTTTTCCTTTAGGGTTGATAATATTCCCTTATTGGCTAAAAAAAGCAAAGAAGTCTTCTCTTCAATTTCACCTAGAACGCCTTTAGGTGAAAAAATTGCCTTGATAGACTTAGACAAAACGTCGCAAAAAATTAGTAACTTCGATGAACAGAGATATATTTAGGATTTTTCGTATTCTCTTATCCTAAATCGTGAGTTGTTTCAACATAGATATAGAGTGAGATCTATATCAGCACAGTAATACAGCTTTTAAAAGAATACTCGCGGTACTCAACTGAGCGTATGACATGGTGGCCTAATGGCTAATTGACTCTTAGTGACTGATTATGGGACAAAAAAATAAACTATGCGTATTTAAATTCTGGCTCCGTCACTCTGTTGTGTTCAAAGCTAATCTTGACAGCCTAGTCTTCACAACCCAATGAGGTCTAATACAAGAATCCTAGCTAATTTTCAATGCAATGATATTTACATAATGGCATCAATTTTTTTGTTATAAACGATAAATCAAGAACGAAAGAGGGAGAAGACTTAGTGGAAAACTTAAAAAGAAAAAGAGAAGACTTCTATAAAAATATAAATTACTGTACCTAAGAGATTTTAGTTTTGGAATGATCTCATGCATGTCAAGAAAATAATTTCTCTCTTAAATATCTTAAATAGTGATTTTTATCTTAAATTTGATTGATGGGGGAAATCCAACCAAAGGCAATGGCTAACCTTTCGATGCCAGAACTGACATCCTATCAAGGGTGGAGTAGCACTACTCCTAGTCGGGTCATACTAATGAAACCGTGATTGCGCAGTATTTCAACTTTACAGCTTGTGATTTTACTTACCCCTCAAGCATATTTCACTTTTTCCTTTAGGTTTTAACGACGCGATGGAATATCTCGACTTAAGTTGGAACCACATTCGACGTAAAGGCGCCGTTGAAATCGCGAATGGGCTCCGGGTAAGAATGAGTTTTTGGCGAAAACAACACTGACGAGAACAAGGACGAAAATGAATATTTTGCACTCACTAGTAGTGTCATGGGCTTTTTTTCAGACGAATTGCACTCTAAAAACATTGAATTTATCGTATAATGGTTTTTCCAATGATGGAGCTGTTGCTTTGGGTGAAGCATTAAGAGCGAATAATACGTTGATTGAGTTGGACATCAGGTAGGTGAATGTAACCTTTACAGTCAGTGATTCACGAAAATTAAGAGCCGACTGAGATTGAACTTAATGGATCGTTTGGCAATGAAGCTCCAGGCATCATAATCTTGTCAACTTTTACTTAACTTGTTGCACTTAGTTGAAATGTATTTATACAATTATAATCAGGTTAGATAAGAATTTTAGACTCATAATTGTGAAATTTCAAGTTTTTTTTTTAAATATGGATTTAAAGATATAAAGTAAGGCGCAATTGAAAGAAACTGAGCGCCATTTGTCTTAGTCATTTATGTCTGTTTCACATGCGTTCTGTGACAGTTCTACTATTGTCGTTAACTAGCAATAACCGAATTACAAACCAAGGTGCTTTGTGCATTGCTAAGGGACTGGAAGGAAACAACACTGTAGAGATATTAAAGGTAATTTACCTCAATTCAAATTAATTACATACTTATCTGGGCGGATCCAGGATTTACTGAAGGGGGATTCGGATAAACATCTGCTGAAAGCAGACTATCCAAGAAGGTCGAGGGACATGTCTCTCCGGGAAAACTTTGACAACTAGTCCTCGGAAAGGTGATCTCCAAGCGTTTTGACGTATAATTATGGGCTGTTTCCTACCTTTGAACACAATTTATGTTTATGACTCTTTCAAACATCCACTATTTCCGCCAACTCTTTCCTCAGAAACCGCACGTGTTGAAACGTATAGGGGTTCGGCAGAACCATCCGAATCAATTTTAGATCCGCCCCAGCAGATGTCAACTTTTTCTTGAATTAGTTACTTTATTTTTGACAGTTCCAGGTCGTTTTCTGTCATCTACGTTTACTTAACTTTACCTCCCCAATAGCCTCGTGCATGGGCCCATCACTTGAATAAATTTCCTCTTCATTCCCCTCGGGGAGAAAGGTAGAACGAAAAGCGGCTCCAAACAAAACTAGCATAAAAAGTTGAAGATGAGGCTGCCGTCCATCTAAAATTGGGCATCCTTTCGCACCCACTAAGGAGTAACTCTAGAAACGCTAGCCTTTCAAACTTCACCGTTATGGTTTTTCAGTACCCCTATAGACTTGCATTTTATAATCGTCTAATTTTCTAGCTGGAAATGAATTGTCACTCTCCAAAGAATTTTGAAGATCATGCCCTTTGGTCGCTTAAGGTCTTTAAGACAGACTTTGATCCATTGTCCTATCTTCCACATAACATTTTAAATGCTTCTTTGATGGTTCCTGTCTATAATAGTTCCTTACAGCATAAAATACTGGCCCTGAACTTAAAAAGTATTTATTAAAATTTATGGGAGTATTATATCAAAAAGTATTCAACCGAAATTAGCAGCGTGCAAAGCTAAAGCAAGAATGGAGACCTCTCAGCTTATTCCGGAGGGCTCGTTTACAAGTCAGTTCTCTGTTTCCCAATTTATTTCCTACAGATTGGTGGCAATCCCATCGGAGCTTCGGGCGCCATGGCTATAACATCAGCTGCGAAAAATTATTCTGACAGTGCTTTGACTGAGCTGCATTTTAAGGTGCTCAAGGTTTCAGATTTTTTAATAAAAATTCCAAAAGTGGAAAGCTACTACATTCGCCATTATAGCGAAGTATTGTTTGTTTACCGCGTACGACTGAGAACTATGAGGTTTAAATTTTATAACAAGTGAGTGTGTGCATATAGAGCACGTAAAGTAATAGTATAAGAATTTAAAATTGGATTTCTCTTTCTATTTGAAGAATTCATTTCTTAATCATAGATGACTTAGTTTAATGAGAACGACTCTGATTTCCACTTGGGAATAATCTTTGCTCACAGAGTTTACATACTTTGTATCTCACCTTAACCCCAATATATTATAAAAGTTCCTTTCATGTGAAAGAAAGTAGTTTCTAGAAATATAGTGGAAAGGAAAAACCCAAAAAGTGGGTCATAGTTTGAGGAAGACTACGACTCCTTGTGTCTTTTTCAGGACATATATCTCGATGAGGAGTTCGATGAGCTTATGGCGGAGGTTCGCGAAGTGAAGCCTGATATTCGAATCATAGCAAACTTACGGCCTGGTGTCAAGGATCCTCTCAGTGTTGTAAGAACCTTTGTCTTAAATAATCAGGATCAATGGCTTGAAATCTGCCAGCAGTTTGACTCGGAAAGCACCTTCAAGATTACGAGGACTGACTTTGTCAAGTGCCTGAAGGTAAGCATGCGTGGAAAAGATGATTGATTATTGAGCTAACACTTCTGTGGTAAAATTACCGGAAACATTTTGTTATTTTAGTTCATGAGAAGCATTTTTTAACGTGCACGATATAAAAGTTACCAAACATTTAAACTTCGAGCGCTGTACGAAACTGTAGAAGCTAACTGGCTTTTCAGATTGTCATAATGGCTCACAATGTGAAACCTCTTTATGCGTTTATGACTTCTTAAACCCTTTCCTAACATGTCATGACATGTCGTGATAGTTTTACTGGGTAATTAGCTTAAGCTCGTATTTTCAACGCTTTGAAAGCTTACTTCGATGCATTAAAATTGCTCCTTGTCTGTTCCGAAAAATAGGGTATGTCCCTATATCGATGCAGACTACTCAGGATGAATGTTACCAAGTTTAGAGCTGTTTTGAGATGGTTTGACTGCACTTGATAATTATGAGATGAACCGGAGATAATCCATGAGCACTTCTTTGATTTATCTTTTATTCTATCACTGCCACGTGCGTAAATTTGCTGTAAAATTACTCTCATCGTTCTCCAGCCCTTATTTAGGCTGAAAGTGGAATCTGTATTCTCTCTTTCTAGAAGGCTGGTTTTGAATTCGGAATGTGGCAAACCGCCCGACTACTCGCACAGCTTGACCCCGAGAAATGCAGTTTTATAAACTACTCGTGAGTATAATTTGGCACATTATAATACATTCTACCAGCTTTTCGTGTCCTTGAAAATCAGTTGTGGGTAATTCAAAACCGCTGTTCAAGTTTAACGAGTTCATCTCCTCAGTAGGTCAGTAGGTCAGTCTTGATACCGACTGACTGGCTCTAATATTTTCTGTTCCACTCCCCTTTTTTAAGGTGCCTTTATATAGGCTCCTCCAATGGGTCAAAGCTACGTTTTGACTGGCAAAAGCCTTTTTATGAGCAAGGGACCTATTTTACGATGCTTCATATCTTGCAGTAATATCGAAAGACTATACCCTCTTAATAACAATTGCATAACAAATCATCACTCATTCAAATTAATAACTGAAGTTTCCCTGCATGGGAAAGTGGTTGACTGTAATCATATCATGAATCAAGAAGAGAGGTGACCTCTCTGTGGCGGGAATGTAATCTATAAAAATTGCAATATTTTACTTTCCCGCATTGCAGGAGTAAGAGGCTAGGATATAAAGAATTACGCCTACAGGAGCTAGAGAGCCGATAGAAAGTGCAAGTTTGTCAAAATAGCACAGATTAATGTAGCTTAATTACAAAGTTAGATATCATGTTGTTTATCGATTATGACTTTGCGGAATGCAAAACTATTTAGTTGATTAAGCGAGATTATTACATACCCTTAGCGTAGTTGGTAAAAACAAGAAATAATTATAATAATAAATGAACAAATAAATGAGAAGGTTGATGATTAAACTTCTTTTCCGTAATTTTCATTCCAAAGTTTGAGGCCTTCCTCCAGATACTAGATTCCTAAGACGGTAGGGAACGTTGTTCTTCGCTATGGCTTCTGCCCTTGAATACTTTTGTCAGCTCTGTGTCTGGAAAAGAACCTCTTAAATTTACTTCGGTAAGAGATTCAAGCGAAAAAATTATGGACTAAACACCACTGACGAACAAAGGAGCGTTGGAATTATCTATTTTGGGCATTTATGACCACCATTTCCGTTAACGCACGTTCTCTGCCCCTAACATTTGTGGTCGCTTGAACGTTCAGTTTTGGGGAACATGGAGCTAAGCGAATTGCGTGCAGTCGGAGGGCCATCTACTGAGTCACGCACGCCGTGCTTGATCTAACTACTGGCCTGCATTCCCCGAACAACATGACAGATTATTAGTAGATCATGTCTTTTCCGAGGAATCAAGTCGGACATCGTTTCTAGAACTTCATTGTATTTATTAACCCCTTATTAACTGCATGACCACATAAAAAAAGGGCCAGTGACGGTGTGACAATATCTCACACAAGAGTAGCTAAAGACTGTTTAACAGGAGAGTGGTACATAAAATCGGCATCGTAAAGATGAGTCGCCGTTGGTACACAGTGTTCACTACGTCTAGCAGCAACGACATTAACATAGCTCTTGGTCAGCTAGGAAGCTCCAAAAACACGCCGAAGGGCAATTGCAACTGTTTACAAAAAACACATTTAATATTCCTGACTCGTGCCGACATCTTTGTTCTAGAGTTTCAAAACAGTGAACACCAGAGTGACTTGTATAAATATGACGGCGTTTGCAAAGAGACCCCCTGTCTTCTTTTTGTTTTTTACAGTCATGTATGAATTCAGTCACACAAATACTGATTACATGCATGGAAAGGTTTAAATTTTCTGCCACGTCACTTATTAGAGATATCTGCATGCCATAGCACAGTGCTCTAAAACATTCAGAGAGCTAAAGCTGCCTGTTTTCGAATGATATGGCACTGGCAACTTCGAGAACTGGTAGATCTTCCAGTTTTGATGACTGGCAGGCTGCAAAGAGAACCATTCGCGAAAGAACATCATTGATGATAAATAACCCTCTGATGAGCGATGTCAAATTTGCAGTTCCTCTCGATCCAGGATCGAGTACTAGCAATGGCAGCCAATTAATCTACGCTCACAAGCTTCTTTTATCCCTTAGCAGCCCTGTATTTCATGCCATGTTTTACGGCAACATGGCAGATACCAGGGAAATAATTCCACTTTCTGACTGTCATTCTCGTAGTATGATAGAGTTCATTCGTTATTTATATTCGGATGTAGTGCACTTGACCTCTGGGAATGTATTCGAATTACTGTATTTGGCAAAGAAGTACATTGTTCCTTTCCTGGCGGAGACCTGTTGTCGTTTCTTGGAAGCGGAATTGAGAGAAACCAACGTCTTTAAAATCCTGGAGCACGCGAGGCTGTTTTCTGAGCCTGACCTTGAGCAACGCTGCTGGCAGATTTTGGACGCTAAAACAACCGCTTGCCTTCAGAGTGAAGGGCTTCTTTGGATCAGTCGCGACACTCTGTCGTCGCTTCTCAAGAGAGATACCCTTTCTTTGGTGGACGGAGAGTGCGCTATCTTTAAAGCTACGAGGAGATGGGCGGCTGCCAACTGCAAGTTGCGGAATTTTAAACCCACAGGCGATAAGTTGAGAGGTGCTCTTAAAGAAGTATTATACTTGATACGCTTTCCTATGATACCTCCTAAATTATTTGAGGATATTGTTGTACCATCAGGTATTCTCACCGAGGAAGAAATATCACAAGTACACATGTTCCACAAACAGGGCGCCCCCACCACTGCTTGCCACTTCAAATTTTCATGCAAGCCTCGCGGCCCCCAGATTCAATCGGGAAGCTCAGACGCCCAGCTGTGTCGTTGCTATCGGTACAGAGAAAATCAAACATTTCCAAGTTCCGAAAATTTCAGCTCAGTTTCTGAAAGCTTGAGATTTTCAACGAACAGAGAAGTGTACTTTGCTGGGGTTCGTCTTTACGCCCACAAAGACGAAGACAGACAGTACTCGGTTCAGCTCAGAGTTTCCGGATGTCACGGATTGAAAGACGAAGTTTCCGCTGCGCGTGGAACTTACACAGTTGGTAGCCTTGCGGGACAGGCACACAGTAGGCTTGGGTTTGACGTATTAGTTCCGAATCCATTTCTGATAGCAAGAGAAGCACAGTTCACTGTGAGAATTTCAATATCAGGAAATGATGAAGCAAACGTATCTCCAAATAAAGGTATTCCTATGACTTTTGTGAAATGTGAAGGGATCGAGTTTAGATTCGAGGGAAAATCAAGGCAGATATTAGAAATACTGTTCTATACTGTTGATTAATAAACAGTCGATGATCATTACGTATTAGGTTCATGTAAAGAAGATAGCTTTTTACTCTGAAGGACTGAACAAACTTGATGGATTTTTTTTTACTCCTGTTTAGAAAAAGTGATTGTAATAGCTTATTATCAGGTAAAATATAATTTTGGGTGTCTCATGGAAGCTAAAATTCAAGGAATTTTGGGATCAAGTGGACAGACGACCATTCAATGCGAGTAGGCGTCTTTTGATATTCCCTTCTGAGGGATTTAATTATTTCAAGTCAGATAGTTAGCTGTAGTTTTGAATAAAATGAAAGGAAAATTTCGATTACAATGAATCCTGCATTTAGTGGACACCTGTGCGAGACCCTTGCTATGTCCGCCCAAGCTACAGGAGGGCCGTCTGATACTGGTTCCTGTAAATTGGGTAAAGATAAGAACCGGACCTTCCGTTCTGTTACAGCGTCGTAAATAATATCGGTTCTCTTAGCAACTGTTACGAGCCTCTTTCTGCTTGCCTTGTACCGACGGGTTGTTTATCTAGAACTGAGAATACTACCAAGCAATCTCAGTGAAATTTTGCGGGAAGATCCGCGCGCAATAACGTAGTTTATGCCTGTCTAATGTTTCTTTTTTTTCTGAGCAGCTATCGTTTTGGGCCACTGGGGTATTTTTGCAAAACAGTTTAGGTTTAAACGTTTTGGTTGCTTTTTTTTTCGTTCGTTCTTAATTTTCCGAAAATAGATGAAATATTTTATCTCTTTTTATGGTATTACCAAGCAGACAAGTGAGAAGATACAGAAAAAAATCAAGTAGAAGATTGGTAGTTGATCCAGTATCACATTCTCCGAACTAACGCCATAAGAATTGTTTAGCATACAGCAAGGGAAATTACTAACGAGATTTTAAGATTGAATAAGAGTCACCCTTAGAAATTCATCACGTCTCCCTCTCCAAAGTTCGAAGAGCCATGCAAATGTACCAGCGAATCGCTTGTGAGCAACAACTTCCACAAGTAATAGAATCGATTGCTTTTGTTTTTCTTAGGTTGGCACAGAAAGCCCCGCCATAGGGCAAACACTTGAATAAGTTGAGCAACTGTGCAACCAATCGTCTTATTTCGTTTGAATGCGTTAGACTCTTGGTCAATGAAGCCGGTTGAAAGATATAACTAAAAGGGTAATACGTTGCTCTCTAAGAGACACCTCCCATTCTTTTTCACTAATTGGCTTAGACCGAGGTCTGGATTTACGGCCAGAACGGGAACGTGAATCCAATAATCTAGTGTAACGGCCAACGTTTAACTTTTTCAGTCTCGAAGAAATACTTGAACTATTAAAACCACCCCTGCAGTGAACAAAAGTTTATACATTACATTTCTGAATGTTGTACTTCTCAAAGACAACTAGCTTGAACCACCATTACATAACATCATCCTGCTACTTTTAGCCCATAATTATAATACAGTGATGGCTTCACTACACATGTAACACAATAAAATAGCGAAGAACGTTTTACACGTTTTAAACAAGCTCAATCCGCCTGTTCTTTAGAAGAAAAATTAAATACTTCACGAAAGTACTCAAGAGAGAGAAATTGAAAGCCCAGCCTTACTTCTGAGTGCTGATATTTAAAGATAGATTTGGATCTCCTTTAAGTTAAATGCTTTTCAAATCTAAGTTTCAAAATAAAGCAATGTTTAAACAAAAAAATTTCTCGTAAAAGTTGACAAGAGATTCCTCAACAATTAAATACTCAGTTGGTCCCTTTGGCAGTAAGGCCTGACGGTAAGTTTTACAGTCGATCATATCTTAGTAACATCATTCTGAGCAACAGCGCAGAATGAATCTGCATTATTTCAAAAGTGATAAAATGGCGTTGCTTCCTGTCACTAAACTTTTTGCCGTAATTTCAAAATTTGTGTTTGCAGTAATGCCTTTAAGCTCTTCGTTTTGAATTTCGAGGTCACACCATTGTTGTGGTACATTGCTTCGCCCAGCACTCGAGCGCACATCTCTCTTTTTCAGCCACGCAAATCTGATGGCATACCTGGACCGAGGGATGGCATTTTAAATGGCATCCCAAGCCAAAACACTTTTGTGTACATGTATCTGCATAGCATTCCAACAAACCACAGTCGTTCCCTTCGCAAACCTGCGTACACTCACCGGAATGGCAAGACATCGTGTAGCACTTTTGGCCAGTGCAAACCTGATTGCATACTTCTGATCCCGTGCAGTTTAGCACACAAAAGCCATCACCGCATGTCTGATTGGAGACCCTCAACGGGCTAGAGGGTCTGTTTTCAAGGGAACAGCCTACACTTGAGCCACACTCTTGAACACAAGTATTGTCTTTGATTTCGTCGCAGGCAGTATTTGTTATCAGTCCAGGAGGCTCATACTGGAGAGAGTGTTTACAATGTCCACCGAAACACCTTGGGCTGCAATTCTCACCCTCACACGATGTGACACAGCCTCCTCCAGCACAGGTCTGGTAACATATTTTGGAGTTCGACGATAAGCAAGCCATCCTACAATTTCCTTCTCTGCAAATTTGGGTACAAACTTTTGAATAGCACTCCATGTTACATCCTCCTGCGATGCATTCTTGGATACAAATTTCTGAAGTGCAAGTAACGAGTTGACAATGCCGTCCGACGCAGACCTGACTACATTTTTTGTTTGCGTTGCACCTCATATTGCAGTTGCCTCCATAGCATGCTTGGCTATGCATGGCAACATTGGTAACGTTCATCATATTGCAGTTCCCAGATGGGCAATGCTGGTAACAAATGCTATGTCTTCGAAGAAACGCTCTATTGCAGCTTGAAACCACGGCCATCGCAACCACATTTTCGGGCTCACTGTTATAGAGGCATTTGCTGTAGCGACAGGAGCGGGAACATTCTTTTCCTTGACATAGCATTAAACATCTCCCCGTGTCACACGACTGCTTGCAGTATTGCACTCCTGCTGGACAATGCATTTTACAATTTCCTCGACCGCATTTCTGAATACAACGCTTGACACCACTTGGACATTTCATCTCGCATCCACCTATATCACATTCTTGAATGCATTCTTCGGAATTGCACTCCATATTGCACCGTCCACGGATGCAATATTGGTTGCATTTCCTGGCGTTGCACTGAAGGGACTGGCAGTAGCCAGCCACACATTGCTGCTTGCATTCGCCTGGGGAAGAACATGTAAGATTGAAGGCTCCTGCGTTACCCATCTGATGGCAGTTCCTGAATTTATCACCACTTACAGAACAGGTCAAATTTCGCCTTCTTGCGATAGAATACTGATAACACGTCTTGTTTTGCCTGAAAACGCATCGTGTATTCGCACTCTCGGCTGAAATTTTGCTGTTCACCATGATAGAAATAAGCACACTAAGAAATAGCAGAACAAATGGCACTCGCGTATGGTCCATTGTCACCAGGGTCCTAAAACATAAAATAATAGGTGATGACTTTAGGAAGGGCACATAATCAAGGGACGATGTAACCGAATTAGTTTAGCCAAGGCAGAGAGAGAATAATTCTTTTGTGGGTTAGGCACTTGGACGTAATTTGATGACCTGGTTAAACAACACATTCTCCTTGCATACATCTTATTTAAATTAGCTTGAATTACTATCATTTTGTCATTCGCAATCCGTATCACTATTATTATTATTCTCTCGGTCTCGGTATCTTCATCCATATCGTTTTATTTCATTACATGCTGCCCTCGAATAAACGTCGTTGTCGACTAAATGCCGCACGAGGAAACAAAATTACCAATAAACACCGCTTCTTATCGGGAGGAATTTATTCAACCAGGATTATGAGAAATGAAATACTGCAACTAGTGCGGCGCGACGCATCAAAAACGTGAGACACTGATATCGACCGAAATTTTTCTCAGAAATACGAAAAATGTGAAGCAAAAAGCTGACAATATACTAACCTTAAAGCAAAAAATTGGAAAATTTGAAGCAAACGCTCCTTGAAATAAAAGCGAAAAATCTATTAAACACCACCTTGCTAGTTTAATTACTGTATGTTTATTTCAAGGTTTCACCCAATTCAAAGTCGATCCTCGATGACCCTCAGATGACTCAAAATATCGTGTATTTGCCTGATTTAGCTCTTTATTATCGAAGAATGAGAACTAATAAATACAGAAAAAGGAAACGGTGGCTTCGCGAGCTAACAGAGGCCCGTCAAGAAGTTCTGATAAGGGCAGACCACCATCAAAATGGAGCGTGTTCATCGTCTTTACTGTGTCTGCGTGACCAGTTCAAGTAGAAAAGATATGACATGCTTCACGTTGAAAGATAGACATTGTAATCCGATCACATAACAGTGATCTGTGATTGCGCGGTAGTCATCGCTGCTAAGCGGTGTCTTTATGCTCTGTCGACGCTTGATGGGTGTGAAAAATCAATAAAAAATTCTACCGGTTCATGTGCGCGAAAACATCAACAGCGTGAAAACTTACTTTAGCACAATTCGCGGCGTGACAAAAATACACTATAGTTGTGATGTCCACGCGATTATTCGGTGAGGTTCAACATTTAAAATATCTACGTCTCTTCGAAGACGTAATTATCGTCTTGTCCTTTTGTGTTCGCCGCCCTAGTCTGGAAAATGTCATCTGAGATCATACTGCATTGATAAAATTAAAAGTTGTGCTTCAAAGTTCTCGATAGCATTGAAAACTGTTTAAACCTTGTACTTCCAATGTAATAAACTCGTTCTGACGGCGAGTTGTTTTCACGCCGAGTCACGCGATGGGATATGTTAAAAGACTGAATAATACCATTGGTATCTCACTTTGATTTAACACGTGTCCAGTGGACTCCCAAAGCCGGCATGCAAGTTGATGAGCTATTATATGAGCTCCAACATTTCAAAACAGCGGCGAAATTGGTGCGTGAAACAAATTATGGGTGGCAAGACACTATAGACCACTGGGATGATAGCTGTAGGTCATACTCGCGTAACACTTAATCAATCCCTTGTGGGACCACCTCAATTTCCTACACAAGGCTTGGAAAAAAGGTGGCATTTAACACTTTTGAAGAGACTTCTTTCATCTGACACTTGACTTTTGACGCCCTGTTCAGGCATCCTTCATGATCTCCTGTCATTTCTTATTCTTTACGTAAGACATTGACAATATACCTTTCCGTGCCACAATTTCTGTTATAATTTTCTGGCAGAACTGGGCAATTATCCAAGTCACAGACGATGTAGAAATATTGATACTACATAATATTTCCGAATGCTGTATAAACCGGAGAGAATAACTTGGTTTTAATCCCCTATCTCTTCTCTGATTAACGCCGACAGCGCAAACCTTACGCAGGGGAGAAAGAAAAGGTCAAGCACGATATATCCACAATTGTGAAGTCTGTGTCCTGAAACCGTTATAGACCCCCCCGTACTAACTAAACTGGCAACTGAAGGAAAGAAAAAATTGCAAAGACCTTCCTGTCGCCTTCTTTTTAAACAAGAGTATCCGATAGAAGGAGGGATAACAATTGAAAGCCAAGACCAAAAGGATCCCAACTCTTGTACGTAAAAGCTATATGATACCCATTTACGTACCAAGAAAGATCAAACGATTGTTTACTTTTCATGCTGAGGAACATCGCAATACAATTAAAAACAAGGCCAAAATATAGTCTTTCAAATCGTAAACAAGCTTTACAATGTTATGCTTCAGCGGTTCCTTGCAGGATGTTAGAAGATAAAGTCGAGAATTCTTTTATTACTTGGTCTGTACCAAAGACGGCAATTGTTTCAAGAGATAATAGGTTCCTATAATACCTTTTTTTAAAAATTCCTGGGTATGTAATCTTGTACGACGAATATTCCTGCCATATGCGTGAAATATTACTGTTTCAGTTGAGCTGAAACAGGACTGAAATGACAACTGCAACTGAGCTCATTCCGCGATAAGGCAATTTTCAAAAACAATAACTAAGAATTTCTCGTCCTCTGCAAAACGGATGCGCGTCACGTTGATGGGTGGAATTGCTTTGTTCACAGTAAATATAAGCTGAGATGTGAACTAAGATAGAGAGAATAGTACTGAGAAATCTAGAAGATTTTTCAGGGCAGGTTCTTTCAAGATGTTTGACTACAGTATAGAGAAATAACTCACATATCTTATATCTAATCCTACCAGTCAAGAGCAAAGCATGGAAAAAGCTGGAGTGCGCTGACGATTACCACAGGGCCCTTTCTCAGTCACCCACACCGGCGAACAAATGTAGAGACCTGTCTAACACTACTAGAGACGATACACCATACTCGCCTCATGAGTCCTGGCTTGTTTCGAGGGATATAAAACAAGATTAGCTCGCAGTGCGAAGTATATGAAACAGCCTTCTGTAATCGTGACTAGTTCGCGACAAGTATCAGCGTGAGTGATCTGCTCTTGTGAGCCCCGCCCTGGGGTGCGTCTTCCGTCGGGAGGAAGGCTTTGAGGTCTCTGGGGACACGAAAGAAGATTTATTGTTTGTAAACCAGTGATTTTCTCTCCTTACGTGTAAGTAAACACATTAAACAAGAGATGCAATTTATGGTATGGTGTTCAGCAGAGTTGTCCTGGTTAGTTTACACAGCAATACAAGGTTTTAAAAAAGAAGAGCGTTGTTTGTTCATTTCAGTCACGCAAAGTGACTATTATTATGCGTGACACGTTGAGAAAATTGTGGGCGCTCAGCTGGATAGCGAATAACACGCGCGCAATAAAGGGCCCTTCACACTGTGAGCTTGCTAACCTCGTTTAGCGCTTCCACTCATCTTTTAGCGATAAAAAAAGAAGTGATGTTTAAAAAGCCTTAAGGATGAAAAAAAGCAAAAAAAGATAATAATAAAAAGAGATGAGGATAAAAAAGCAAAAAATAATAATAATAATAATAATAATAACAAGAGATTTCTTAAGATGGCAGTTGATCAGAAACTCTGGAAGACTTGGATTCCTACGTATACAGAAGTATTGCGTTCGGTTAAATTCGCTTCGTCAGCATATTTCATATCATTTTCAGAGCCATGGAGATTTACTATTACTAGAATATGAGTCCGGTAAAGTCGTCTTCTAAGGTATAGAAATACACAGGAGGGAGAATCAACTAAAGAGCGACAGGGATGGCTAAAGATGAGGAAGATTCACACGGATGGCAAATAGCAATCCTCTCAGGTGCAGATCTCTCAACATATACTTAGAACTTAATACTGCTCCGAATGCCAGCATCAGCCCTGTTCAGAGTCGCCCTCCGATGGACTTCCGACGAGAAAAGAAAGAGAGTCCTGAGAGCCGAAGAGCGAAATGAGGACTTAGACTGGATACGAGGGCAGCTTGACCGACTGGCAACTGACAGGAATCAAATGGCTTTCTCTGGTCGACACACGAAGAGAGCTAACTAACTTTGTAATTGATACCTCACACAATATTGAATGATGCGAGGAAAGATATTAAAAATGTGTCATAACAGAACTGGCGCAAACTGGCACCAAGAGAAGTATTTATTTAACAATTACCCTTTGGACTCCGACATGACATATTTTTCACAAAGTATTGCCAATTCTTGCTTTCTATATTATAATCATTGTTATGTTCATACTATTACCTCAATTGTTTTTTTGTCGCTCTCGTATTTTGAGGCAAATTTCTGCCGTTTATCAACATTTTTCGACCTATTTTCACTCCTCGAGTTGACAAAAATTTATCATGGGAGCGAATGTTTACAACATTTTTGTTCAAGCTGACAGAACATGCACGAAAGAAACTTCATCCATGCGTAATTATCTCATTCAATAAATATTGTTGATGGAGTAAATTATTTTAACGACTCTAGGAGCAACATTTAATGTTGTGGTCTGATCTACCGGGTGCGTAAGTGTGGTCCAGAAAGAGATCGCTGATGACCTGAGGTTAGGTGACTGATTTGGTAAAAAAGCCTGTTATAAGGGTCAAAAGCCTTTTGATGTCTTCAGATATGAAAATTTAATCAACAGTCCTGAAGCTATGATAGAAGAAAACATGGGCTACAGAAGCCTAGTGTTTAATCAAGTTACAGATAAAATATGACTGTGAAACGAAACTGCATTGCGTCTAGCCTTCGAAGGTATTTTAAATAACTTGTCATCCTCTTAAATGTTTTTGAGAAACGGTGACGCCAGTAGATTTATTTGGTAAATTTGAAAAACGTCATTGGTGATAGAAGGTCGAGCCTTTACAGCACATTTTGGGGGATTAGACCTCAGACTTACCATGGTGGGTGATGTCACGTACGAAACGAGGCTGTCATCCTTTAAATGTGTTTCAGTTACTCTGTGACACATTAAGGCTCATCAAAAACTCATTAATAATGGTGTAGACTTAAAGGAGGGGTCCCATCCACTCTTCCTTGCGTAATGGGGTCTGGAAGGGTAAATCAGCCTGTAATATGACACCCATACCATAACAAGCTAAAGATTGATTGATTGATGCCTACATTTTGGGAACTGGTAAAACAATAAGGCTATTGCTGAATCATGACCAGTATTAATTAAAACAAGCATGCTTGACCAAGAGGTTGTGGAGTTTACAAATCTTAGCTCAGCAGTGTCGCCTAAAGTAGGAACTTGAAGCATCATTAGAACTCAAGACAAACTTTTCGCTTTTAAAGTTCTTGGATATTTCCTCTTTTGTTTCCTTTTTTTATTCCTATTGTATTCTTGGACTGAGCATGCTAAATTTCCGACTGCATGAGCAGTTTGACAGAGAGGCAAGTTATTTGTCCTTTTTTTTAAACCTGAAAGCTAGCGTTCTTGCTAAGTTACAGATGCTTGCTCATATCTAAAACCGACAGGGGATTCATTAATCTCGCGTTGTAAAAATTAATCTCAGTTGCAAGAAAATTCCATTTTGCTCATTAAGTGATGGGTTACAGATCATGGATGGCGTAAAAGTGGGTCGAGAGCAAGAAAGTCGCGCATGTGCCATTGGCAAGTGTGCCACGGATGTTCTAGTCACTTCTCGATGTCTTCCAATTAAGAAATGTGATCTTAATTAGGAAACTGAGATGAATTTATATTGGGTCAACGGTAAAGCACAGACTGCTTGATTTCTGATTCCGTTTTGGACAATTTTTTTAGTTGCAAAAACTCTCTCGATTTCATATATATATCTTTTTATACCATAGACAGTTTTGACTAAAAACTTTTTTTCAAGATGAATTGGACGAAAGAAAAGTGTACCAATATTACTGTGACATTGCTATGTCACCAGCCGCGTGTCTATTTATCATGATCATTGGCAACAATTGGTCACCTAGCACGCTGTTTAAGTCCATTGTATGAACGAGAACAATTTTGGGATTGCTGTTAACAAGTGTGCCCTCTAGGACAGCTCTCAGTTGGTAATACACACAAAGCATCTCATGTTCATCCCAGAAAATTCTTCTAAAAAAAAGATGCAAGGTCTTAGCGTGCCATATTACTATCGATGAAATCATCGACACTAACGGAAGATGAATGTCTCCAAAAGTAGCACGATGTAAGCACGCAGCGGTAGGCAAATAAAAATATTCTCATCAGTTTGCGTCAAATTGTAACAGAAGAGACACAATGTTCCATTCCAAGTTTGCCAAAATCAAGACTATGATGGCTGTATCGTGTTTCACCCCCTTTAATGTTGAGGGAACCGCTTTTCAGCAAGTCGTGTGATAGGTGAACGGGCAATTTTCGAATTTTTAGGCCCATAATGTAAGTGCTAAGCGACAAATATATTGTCATCTGTTTCACTGGATTACTTCCCTATGCACAAATCATCCCTATTAACTGAAACAGGTTAGCTCGGTCGGCTTTTTTATATCGGTCAGCAAGAATGAGTTCGTTCGAAGAGTCATTACTTTTATGATGACTGAGAATACAGCTCTCAGACTCAAAATAAGGGTTACTTTAAAAGCAAGAGAAAATAGGGGCAAAATTCATTGAAGCTGTTGAAAACTTAGCTTGAAATGACTGAAACGATTCAATTTCCTCTTTGATAAAATTAAGTATAACCCACCATTTCCGCCATGACCGGCAGAAATTGAATTTCAGAGAAAGTTTGATGGGCGAAGTTTTATGTATTTAATGCCTATTATATCGTGATACTAAAAGACAGTGACTTAAAAGGGAAAAGGAATGTCCATAAAGAAAATTTCTTTTTCTTCGCTATTTAATAGCGAACAACAAAAGAAAAGGCGATTGTTTATGACTCTAATTCCATCATCAATACGATGACGTCTAACCACAAACTGCTCTCCTTAAAATTCTTGTGACGATCAAATTCTTCCGCAATTGAAGGATATCACTTATTTAACCGCCATATGAATACATAAAGGCTTATTGAGGAAACATGAAGGATGAAGGAATGAAAGACTGACTTGTGATTAAAAATTCACAGGCTGACCCAGTGCTACGATACTCTATAAAGTGTATGCTCTTCCTACCTTCTTTTTTTATGGAGTAAAAGAGTCCCTCACTTCGTCTTTGAAGAGGCAAGCGAATTGTCTTCTTTTCTGACGTTATAATCTGCTGAAGAGCTCAATCTTCATCGAAGATTGGATAATAATGGGCAAAATCCTGGATCATGTCTTGAAGCTTTTAATCCTGACTGAGAAAGTTCGCTTTGACGTCTGTCCTGCATGAGAGAGACTAATACATTTGACATCTATCCAGGTGCCTTGAGGCGTTTATGAATGCCTTTTAGTTAATCAGTTCAACGTCTGTCACCAATAGAATCCTGTATGTATATTTCATGACAGATGAAAAGCCTTCAATTTTATCGTTTTAATCTATGCATGGTTTTGTGAACTACGCTAAGTTGGAGAAAACTTTGCTTTTCAAAACTCGGAAGAGAAATGGTGCTTGAAAATGAATATTTAGAGAGAATGGTACCAATTAGAAAGAATGGCATTCCTGACGTCGTAAAACAAATGAATACTTGATTGTCTATCTAGTTTTGTCGTGACTCAGTGTGGTTTTTATGGGGAAGTTGATAGCGCAGCGACGAGGATAGTGAGGTCAACAGTGTGGTCCTCCAATTTGCGTCAAATTAAAGAATTTTTGTTAAGTGGGCTAGGCACATTCATTACATTTTATGTTTCGCTGTGCAAAGGGCCCCTCTAGATGAAATTTGGATAATGATACAAGGAAGAAAACAATACTCCGAAGCATATGCTTTCTGTTTTTTTTGGAAAAAATGGCACAAGACATTACAAAAACATGCTACTAAACCATGACAGAAAAAAGATGATTTTCCTTAAAAAGAAAACGAAATTTGAGGAAGAAGACGATCGCAAATTTATGCAGGAGACTTCTTATCTTAGAATATCAAGGATTTAAGCGAATATAATGGTTTCTGAAAGGATATTTTTAGTCGTGCTATGGATATTTTCTCAGTTGGCGATTAATTTAGAATCCGTCTGTCGATCAAAAGAAATATTTCCAATAATTATGAGAGCTGGCCGTCGGTTGTAAACTTTATAAAACGTAAGAGATGGTGGCTGCCTACAATCGTAGAAAAAACATATTGATAAGATAAAGCTACAAGCTGAATATTCCATTCAGCCAACAAGTCACTTGCTGTTTAAATAGTCTGTAACATATGGAACACAGGTTTTTCAAATGTGGAGTCAAGAAAGCCCAAAGAAATCCTCACCCTGACCCTGGCGAGCAGATGAGGCAGCAACGAATACCAAAAAACAAACATGCGATTGAAGTTCAACTTTCATTCTTCAGTTGAGCTCTATGGTTTTCAAACGATTGTTAGATACACGTTCATTTAGTGTATGAGTCGCGATAACCATTAATTTTCGAAAGATGCTTGCAGATTATTTACCCCCTTCTCCCTTCCGCCACGCCAATAAGCCATCTAACATCTTGATTCAACATGTTGACTTTTGGGGTTATCTTTTCGTTCTTGTTGTTGTTGTTTTTTTTCTTGGTCGTTTATGTTTTTGTTCGTTTGTTTCTTTCCGCAATTGTGTTCATTTTATGTTCTTCATCACTAACCTCCCACATTTCTTTCCGCGGCGTTTTTGTGTAATAAATTTTCTGAAGGCGTAACTTTAAAAGAATTTATAATCGACCTCATTTCCATCAGTCGCTAGAAAGTTCACCTGGCTCATATGGTCTATTAACTCTTTGCATATTTCTGTGTGTGTCTTTTTACCATCTCAGTTTCTTCTTTCTTTGCGTTAGGCTTCCTTAATGAATCAATCAAACCTCTTCGATGAAATATTACTGAACGTAAAGAATGTTCATGCGTAAGTAAGCTTCCGGAGCCATTTCACCAAATTCGTTCATTTGTATCTTTTATTAAACAAGGACAGATGTGGCGTATGACACGAAAAACACACGTTTATTCCTTGAAGTATAGTTTCTGCTACAGTCCTCTACCGCACAACTTTCATTTCTTGACGGTGACGGTACAACTCCTTACCATTAAGAAAAAGGAACTCGAGTTGGGTATAACTTACTGTTGTTTACCTCTATAGAAAGGATGAAGATTGTTCTGCATGTTGAAAAGTAAATTTGATGAAACCCCTCCGTTAGACAGCCTAAAAAAATTTAATTAAGTGAAAGCGATAAAGAGGTAAGGATCGTTAAAAGACAAGCATAGGAAATTAATAATTATTAATGGTGTGTTTCTCCACAGCTTAAGAGTCAACCAGTTTGGTAATTGAGCCGCTAATGAGAACAAGAATCATGTCAAGACATAAATGGCTAGTGTCATGACTATGGGGATAAACATCATATATAGGCTAAAACTGTAGAAGACCACTCCAAAATAAGAAGCTATACATTTCACCGGCTTTAAGGAGACGGCTTTTTTTCCTTTAAGGTTACATATGTCGACTAATTACAGAGCTTTGGAAGCGAAATGATTGTCGGTCACAATGACATTGAGTTTGTTGCTTTTCTTTCTTACCACGATTACTCCCTGGTCCTGTTACTGTACATGTATGAAATGAATCTTTTGATTAAAGCCACCTAGTTTTTTAGAACGATCTGCAAGAAAAACATAAACAAATTCAAATGAAGCAGAGTCTACGTATTTTTCGTCATCCACCCGTGCCCTATCCTTGACATCGGTGTCTATGTCGGTCAAGAAAGGACTTTCGTCAGTCTTTTGTCGTTATAGACCCGCTTACTTAGTCAAAAAATTGGTTTATAATGGGCAGTTTGTAGCATCTTGTCTTAAAGCTTTTAACCCTCACTGAGAGAGTTTGCAAACCGACGACGTCTAGAAAACACGTAGAGACTACACCGAATAGACACTGTGTCAGATGCCTGGGGCATATGAGTGTTTCTTGAGTTTATCAGGAAAACGTCTGTCACCAAAACTATATTATGCATAATTTATTGGTTAAGAATATATGAAAGTCATATATTTGAACTGCGGATAAAGACGTGAATGAAAGTGATCCTCGCAGTAATTTGCACTACTTAGGCAGTAGTGAAAATAAGGCCTGAAAAAAATTCAGGCCTGTACGGGATTTGAACCCATGACCTCTGCGATACCGCTCTCTGTTTATTTAGAACCAACTTCATGACCAGCTCCCAGTTGGCTTGTTAGCTCAGTTGGTAGAGCTATTGTTCAGAAACTAAGGCAGACTGGTTCACTCACACATGACTCAAATTATATTGAAAAAAAAATTAATGATTTTTGTTCTTGGGATATAATTCAGAACACGATTTTCCGAAACAGTGCACGCGCGGAAGAATTTTTATTTTAGGTAAGTTATTAATTTTGATTCTCGCCTCAGCTTATAACTGCTACATTCAAAAATTGTCATATTCATCTGTTGTGACAAATGTTTTTCAACTGAAACTGACAATGCTCCGTCAATAGGTGCTTCAATAACACGATCTTATCTCGCCAAGGGGATAAAACAATCAACTGAATGATACATTTACCTTTGTTGGGCCAGCTTTTCCATTGTCTTTTGAACATATGGAGCACAGGTTTTATGTGTAATCGATTTTTAAACTGCGGGATCATCAGGGTTTAATAGAAGAATGGAAAACACGCAGAAAAGGGCGGAAAAAGAACATTATGATGCGACCAGTTCCACGTTGATTTGAGGAATCTAGTTCTGTTAAGGATCGATTGTTAGACAGGCATATCTTATAAATCCTCTGTCGAAATTGGACATTTAAGAAAATCATGTTTATTTGAACAGATAAGGCGCCCTTTCGTCGTTCTTTATAGCAGGCGTTTCCTTTGTTTACTTTTAAGTTCAGATCGTTTGTGTCGCGTCCCTCTCACATTTTTTCATCTTTGTTGTTTAATCTCACTGACAATTTGAAACTCTAAGGGAAAAAGAGAAAAGGGGGAAATGAGGGGAGTTGATCGATCATAGCCATACAATACTAAGTTTTTTACAACATAAATATGATGAAAGCTGCATTAAGCGGACAGCCAATTAACTCTCGCTGATTTCCACTAAATACTAAGTGTTCGCTTGGTGCAAGTTCCTCTAACCGCAGATAATTAGGACGATAAACCGTATGCCCCGTCTCCTACATCTCCTCCGTACTGGTTAGCGGGGGACGATGAAGAACCCACGAAATTCTCCTAAAGATTAGGGAGCTTAGCTCCCATTGTTGAGGTCTAGCCTTATTAAGATCTAAAGATTCCCAATAAGTTTTTTCTACCTTGAAAGAGATGACAAATTGAGGAAAAATTAGGAGGAAGAAGAAGAAGAATTGACCTGCGCAAAGATCGAATAGAAATTTTGATCTTCGTTTCAAACTCCTTCTCTTAGTGCTCCTGTGTGGCTATTAATTCAATAGTCTTTATAGAAGAAAGAACATCAAGTCATTGGTGCAAACTCTTCCCTGCTGAGTTTATTTTTTCTTCGATAAGAATTCGTTACGATTTACCTATGTCATAATTACGTCCACTTATCTACGGTCATCGACACTGATGAAAACTGTTACCATCAGAGGGTTATCCTTGATATTTATCTAGCTGTAATTCTTTGTATTGTTGTCATTATTTATTTCATCTGTTCATATTTTTTTTTATAAGCTCGAATCTTTTCTTCTTATGGTTTCAACTCGCCTGGCGTTGTTCTCCAGTGCCATGGACGCCATTCCAGCATTACTAATTGAAAATTTCATCACTAAGGTAGTCTTGCCAAGCATGCTAAACACAGCCCTTCTAAATCTCCTGTATTTTATAGAGTAGATGATAGGATTACAGCAACTGTTCATAAAGCCTACAAGCATAGCTAGGGCGCCATACGGTCCTTCAACTTTTTGCCCTGTTCCGATCTCAACGAAGAGTAAGATACAAAATGGAGACCAGCATATGAGGTACACTAAAGTTACTATTATCAATGTGGCCAATCCCTTATTTCGTTTTAATTTCCTCGACTCTCTATTGTTTACCGGCTGCCTTTGGGTGCTAGGTGTAACATCCTCAATGCGTTGAAGTTGACTTCGGATTACCCGCGCAATCTTCCAATACACGTATACCATCGTCATCAAAGCTACTCCATACGTTCCTGAAACAACGGAAATTGCGAAAGCAAAGTTTAATCCATACCTGGACCAATCTTCTACCTTACATGTCCCAATATAGGTAACAAAGCACTCGTATGAGCTCACTCCAAATAAGGGCAGGAATGCCCAAACGGCAGAGTATCCCCACAAGACAAAACACAAGCAAATGGCGCGCGACTTTGTCATCTCAAGCGGATAAAACAGTGGACGAGCGACTGCCAGGTATCGATCAATGGAAAGCATCATCAGGTGCATTATAGACGAAATGCAAAAGAGAAAGGTTGAAAACCCATTACAAACGCCCCATATCTTTCCACATCTCCACCAACCGCTGTGAACAGCATCCACAGCGCACGGCATTACAAGTATGGCCACAAGTAGATCCGCAATCGACAGAGAAAACAAAAGGTGAGAGTTGACGATGGAGTTGAGAGCCCTTGAGTAACGAAGTACAATCATAACAGTAATATTTCCGATCATTGTCAAAGCAAGAACAAAGATCATTATGATCATAATGAGAATAGTCCAGCCGTGGGGTAGATTAACAAGCTTGACGTTGTCTTCACTTTCGGTAAAGTTTTTAACCATTACTGTCCCGTTCATGACGTCTCCTGTAAAGAAAATGTAGATCGAAATAATTTTGGTCATAGGCTATTAATGCACGTCAAGTATGTTGATTTTGCAAATATATGGACCCTTAGCGCAAAAAAATGTACTTTTCTGAAACAACTTAAGTCATTTTATTGGTGCTGCATCAACCTTCCTTTTAGAAAACAACAAACCTCGTTATGAAACATATTAAAAATTAATGTCGTTAGAGACTGTTTACAAGAGTGGATTTAGCAATGAAGCCGTCCTCCTCAGTAATTTACCGGTTTACTTAGAAGCACTAGCAAAAAACAAAGAAAAGAGAGGAGCGCAGCTTTCCCGGGAGTAAAGTTATTTGAGAAGGGGAAGCAATGATTTTGGTGAAAAACGAGTTTTAAAAGCGAAGGCCTTAGATATTACGTAATGCTCCATGATCTGAACTACCTCAAAAGGTCCTGGCTGAGCAAACTGATTTTAGGGGTAAGGTCGATCGGAATGAAAAGAATCGCAAGATTGTCCTTTGAAGAAAATTTTTGTCACCTACTCATTCACTTCCTCACGTTTTCAATCAATACTTAACGAGTTTATTTATAGCAGCGTTTTGTACCATCTTGAAATATTATCCACATTTGCATATTAGCTTAGAAAAGTTTATCTACCAAACTGAATTCTTCATCTGCCGTTTTTTCTGGATTCAAAAAGTTATAATGATGTTGACTCGGAAACTTGAAAAGTTAAAGGCTTTCAGGAAAATAATTGAAAAATTTACAAATGCAATATTTATCGGACATTTTTTCCCTAGATTCAGTGATTAAGATGATAAACTTCGATATATCATTGAATGAGAGAAAACTTTTTGACCACATTTTTACCGGCCTTTTTACCCTCGACTCTAAGAAATCGTGACTAATCGTTCAATAAAATTGAAAGTTTAAATATTATCTCGTAAATAATTAATAATAGTCTAACCAAGAAAGCTAAAGGTATCATGGAGGAAAACACGAAAAACCTGTATTTGTGCCTGAGAAATATTGGACTACTAAGTAAACTCAAATGGTTATCTCGGTTCTTGTCTGCACATTTATAGACAGCGGACAGCTACAGCTATCATATATAAAACTTAAAAGTGAACGAGAGAATACGAGTGAACTTACATATCAACTAAACATTACAGCAGATGGTTTAAACATGTTAAATGTTGATTGAAGCAGGTGCTCAACGGAGCTGAGGGAAAGTGACAATTATTTTTTCCCAAATTTACACTGCATCGAACTCTTCTAATGGCAGATTTTAGGCCGTTGAGATATCTGGCGATGTCACTGAACATAAAAAATCCGGTATCTTGAAAACAAGCTTGAATATCAATGGCGTAGATGTTTTCAGATGCATTCTTTGTACCGTTCTAGTTGGAATATAAGGACCCTTTTATCCGGCTGACTAGTCTGGTTTCACTTATCACATCTCTCAACGAAACTTTTCTGATAATATTTACGTTCCCAAACATTTTTTCGTCGATACAAGTCAGCCTCGGCAATAGCAGTTATTTAGGTCTGCCAGTAACCTGTAGCGCACGTTACGCAATTATTCAACTTTGAACTGAAGCGAAACGAAACGAAATTCAAATGTCTTCAAGAAATTAAGAAAAACTTTACCTTAAGAGAGGAAGGCCACAGTGAAAATCGACAGCAGGAACCAAAAATAATATTTATAAACCGGAATATGTTTGAAACCCACCACCAGCTGATGAGTTATTAAAACGTAGTGCTGTCTCTTAAAGCTAATAATAAGCCAGAATAGATTTCAGCCAAACGGCTTCGAAGGACCTCGTGGGACAGGTGAGAAAGATAGGCAGTAATCCTCTTTTTCATAAAATGGTTGTTTTGAAGCAGACTTGGATCAAAGGATCGATGCAAAGCGCGCCCTCGTCGGCTAAAAAAGCGCAACCTTAACTGAGTTTGAGACAATTTAAACCGATGAATGACGGACAACTCTCTAGCTTGCATAATTGCATGTTGACGAGCCTAAACCAAATTGAATATTTATACAGTGGTTCTGAAGACCAACTTGAAAAACTACTCTGAATTTGGCAGTGATCGTACACAGAATTTACATTACTTTATACAGGTAGAAAAACTCGAAATAGACAAACTCAACACAATGAAACCAAGCAGACAAACTAAACAAAACAATAAAACAAAAGTGAAAAAAAAATAAATGAATAAAGAGAAATGCGTCTGAACGGACAGGATTAACCTGGATTATACGGCGATGTACCTCAACTAGAAAATTAATTTCCATCGTACTGCAAGCCGATCGAAAATCAACACTAATCAACAGAACCAACAATGCATTTCGAGCCTGTCTAAAGTTCCGAAAAGAGGGAGAAATCTATCCTTATTTCCTTGTTAACGATTGTCTCCTGCGTGACACTTAAAATATGCTTGTAAGATAGTGACTTTCCACAGGTGTTAAGTTTGAAGTTATATTTAGAACCAGTATTTGTTATTCAGATAACTAGTAACGCACTGTGCATTTTTAACTCTAAGTATTCTTGATCTTGAAGTTTTGCGAACTGAAGGCCTCCTTGAGGAGTGAAATGTGTTTCTAGGCTTTCCAAGACCTTTTCTAGCCATTTCAGGCCTATATTCGCTATCTAATGTTCAATTCATGGTTTACAAGACTATTTCAGTTTCAGGTAGTAGCAAAACCCTTTAAGTGACAGAGTTGTGTACTGAGTCCCGAGCAAATCGATAAGGAACTGCATCATTTCACTATAGAGTTCATGAAGGATTGAGGCCGGAGGTAATTTTCTTAGGAATTTCTTTCCCCTTTAAGCAACAACGATTACAGTATAAATCACTGCTTGAACGTCTCATCTTATCGCACTTTTAGCAGTGGAAAACCAAACTTAAGGACTCAATGGGATGATAGCTTTAACGGATTGCAATTTATTTTTTTTCCAGTTTTGACAGTTGGCAGTTAGATTCTGTGGCCTTCGGCGTTGATGATTAATATTGTACAATTTCCTCTTGATTTAAACAATTGGAACTTTTAACAGTAACTGGATTTAAGTTTTAAACAAAAATGCGGCTGAATAAAAATGTTTTTTGGTCTTGTCATTAGCGTGGGACGAAGAATTTATCTGAGTTCCCACAAGGAATGGAACTTTGTACTTCAGTACCCTACTGAGCCAAAGAGAACTGTATAGAGTACTATCGGCTTATTAAGACACTCCAAACAGTGTTCCTAAACGGACTAAAACGCGATCCATATGCCATAGAAACAACGATGCAGCAAGGTTCATTGTAATTCAGTATTTTCACGAAGTTGTGCATTCGAAAAAACTGTTGAGTTCCTTTACAAACCATTTTCAATGGCGTCTTCGTAACACAAACTTCAGGCCATAGGCAGGAGTCATGTTCACGGTCACCTCATGTTCTAGGCTTGGGCTGCCTGTAGTCCAAAATGTTCGTTACTATCATTGAAAAATTTAAAAGGGGGATATATCATGAATTACGCCAAGGTTTGCTGTTCGATCACTCTCGAGTAAAACAGCAATATTTTACGAGAACGGTAATTGAGTGAAACCTGCAATAATGAAACAGTCATTATTTTGTCTAAATCGTTTGCGTTTAATAGTTTCTATTCAATGATAAGAAAATATTGTTTAGGAGAGTGTCAGTCATGAAAATCATTGCTTGTAGTGGAATTGCCTTCTCTGAGTTATTTGTGTCAATATTTGAGCAATAGGTAGCATGAAAACAACGTAGAGTCTGTTACACAGCCCCTCTATGTTGTATTTATTTACTCATTAAAAAGCAAATTCAACTTTAAGAGGCGGGTTATTAAATTGGCACGGTCATCGTGTTATATCGTGCAAAGTTGCGAGCAGGATCTTAACACGTTCCTTTGTTCCTACCGTGCGAAACAAGACAATGACTGCGAAGTTAATGAGGCAAGTAAATAAAACGCAGCTAACGTGTTAAAAGCTCGTTCTTTGTCGTGAGGGTGCGTTCACCTTATTCCTTGAAATCCTGTGGAGGGTCACATTTAGAAAATAATCGTTGAAAATTTATGAATATCGAATGTCGACCTCTTAAAATGATCTTGAACTTGCTCTTTTATAACTTTTTAAACGCTTGATTCTCTTCTTCCTAAGGTTTGAACTCTCTTGACAGTATACTCTTGAACCATGGAAGACATTCCAGCGTTATTAGTAGCTGAAAATTTCAATACGAAGTCAGTCTTGCCAATCATGCTTAACACAGCCCTCCTAAATCTCCGGTATTTTATGGAATAGATGATAGGGTTACAGCAACTGTTCGTAAATCCAACGAGCATTGCTACGGCGCCATACGGTCCTTGGACCTTTCGACCAGTTCCAATCTCAACGAAGAGCAAGATACAAAATGGTGACCAGCATATGAGGTACACTAAAGTTACTATCATTAAAGTAACCACTCCTTTACTTCTTTTAAATTTCCCAGTCGTATTATCCTCTTTGTTATAAACTGTCTGCTTTTTGTTGTTATTTCTAACAACCTCAATACGTTGAAGTTGACTTCGGATTACCCGCGCAATCTTCCAGTATACAAAAACCATCGTTATTAAAGCTAGTCCGTAGGTTCCTGTAACAACGGAAATTGCAAAAGCAAAGTTTAACCCATACTTGGACCAGTCCTCTGGTTTACATGTGCCAATGTAGTTAATGAAACACTCGTAGGAGCTCACCCCAAATAAGGGCAAGAAAGCCCAAACGGCAGAGTATATCCACAGTACAAAACACAACCAAATGGCGCGCGACTTTGTCATTTCAAGTGGATACAACAGTGGACGAGCGATTGCGAGGTATCGGTCAATCGAAAGCATCATTAGGTGCATGATCGATGAGATGCAAAAAAGAAAGTTTCCAAACCCGTTACAAATGCCCCATATTCTTCCACATCTCCACCAACCGCTGTTTACAGCGTCCAAAGCGCACGGCATTACAAGAATGGCCACAAGAAGATCTGCAATTGACAGAGACACTAAAAAGTAGGAGTTAACGATGGAGTTGAGAGCGCTTGAGTAACGAAGGACAATCATAACAGCAACATTTCCAACGATTGTTAAAACGAGAACCAAGGACATAATGGTCATAATGAGAATAGTCCAGCTCTGAGGTAGATTAACGAGCTTGATGTTGTCTTCCCTCTCGGTAGAGCTTTGCTTTATTAATGTGTCATTCATAACGACTTCTGCCTAAACACAAAATGATGAACTAAGATTAAATTAACCATAATAACTGTTTCTCACATAGCTTTTTGATAAATGAAGAAGTTAATGTGAGGCTGCAGCTGTTAAATTATTGGTGCAAGGATGGCAATTTCCCCACCATAAATTCATGCAGCATGCAACTTCAGTTTTTAATCGCGGTGCTGAACACTATGAACGCTCGCAAAGATATTTTTGTCTAAAATTTGTTCCACTTTGACGTTAGCAACTATGTCTGCTGCAGACTTCAAATATGCCTTATGTGATGCTATGATTAAGAATTGTAGGCTCTAAAAAGTATAAAACGCAAAACCTAAATTTAATGATAAATCTCTCGTATACATGCACTGAGACTATAAAGGTACCTGATTCGGTTTAAATTCAATCAATCAGAAAAAAAATATCCTCACCCCACGAAAACGAATTATCGGTATTTTCAAGGTAACTAAACTCGCTTCTCTTTAAATCTCTTGCAAACCAATTTGGTCGTTCTCAGGGTGAAGAGAACTAATATACATTAGTATTTGAGTTTGACAAGTTGATTCGACATGCTGACTATTCCAAATTATTTTTGACTTCTGAAATATTGATTCAAAAATATATACTAAATTTTGGGCTATTTACCTATCTAAAATTAAAGTATACCGAAGTGGTTAAAGTCGCAGAGTGAAAGTGTTTTCAAGAGTTTTTTTTATGCCCATAACAAAATAAAATTATCTTTGATAGCCATCGAAACCTGAAATGTTTTGCAGTGTAATAAATGTTTGACGGAAATGTTCTATAATTGGAATTCACTGGTTTTTCATCTTAGCTTAATACCCCCTAAGATTTCGGAAATCGTTTTTCCTTCAGGCCACTGAAATTTAGACAAGGTCAGAAAAGGTGATCGATGGAGAGGATTTTTAGATTTTTCCTTTACTGCAAAAGACATTTTGTATAAATGCAAATCGTTAACGTTGTTTTCATGTCAAAAAGGGGATTTCTAAATGTTTAAAAAGATAGTTCCGGCTATAGATGATGATGTTGTGGTTTTGTTTGAGCTAATGAACTTGATTGATGATTGCATTTCCAAGGTCTTCCCTTCATTTTCAAGAAATTGTTTTTGAAAAATAGCAAAGGAAATTTTCGCATTTATTAGTAGTTTTCAAGTCAACTGATTTTTGAAAAGCTATGGCCATTGCCACAGGGACAACAAGGGTTTCGAATAATTTCGACAAACTGCAAAAATTTCTTTCTGACAATATAAAGTGCATTTTTCGATAAGAGTTACTTTCGTAAACGAAGACGTGAAAGTTAATATCATCATCTTAGTGCGCAAAATTTTTAGGGTAGAAGGGTGCGAATAATGAGAAACTGGCAAAAAATCTTTTTTTGTGTGATCTTTGCTTAGCTTCAGGAATATACAAGACACTACCGATAGAAACTAAAGGGGCACATCTTTCGCATTTTAAACTACACCTTAGGTAATGAAGGGTCCATTCATCTTAGCTGTATGCTATCGCTCACAGTTTTGATTGATTTGTTATTACGTTCATGAATATGAAAGCTGAGAGTCCTTTGTGTAACTGATCAAGAAGACTTGATGAATGTTATTTTGCATTCTCACCAATCGCAAAACTTCTGAAAATTAGCGATAAAGTAGTAGCTTCCCGAGTTGAAAATAAACACCTTCCTGCCAAGATATATTCGAAAGGGCTACCATTTTAAATCGCTATGGATTCACGTCTTATTCATATATTTGAAAATTTGCCCTTCACCACAAACTGAATGTCTTTATCTGATTGGCTAAATCATGGACTTAGAACACCATATGTGCTCCAAAAAGCATGAGACAAGAAATGGAAATTGACTGATAATTTGAGAGAACAGTTCAAGTGAACATGGCACACTGTATCCGTTGCTTCCAAGGGCTTTTTTCACTCCTTGTAGTCGAGAAGTTTAAAATAAAATTTCTAATACATCTCTCTTAAAGAATAGATTATAAAGTAAATATGGAAGCGACCTTCGCAGTAATGAACACTACTCAAGTAGTAGTGAAAATAAGGCCTGAAAAAAATTTAGGCCTGTACGGGATTTGAACCTATGACCTCTGCGATATCGAAAGAAACCCCATGGGTTTAACTGGAACCAACATAATGGCCAGCTCCCAATTGCCTTGTCAGCTCAGTAGGTAGAGTACTGCGAAGATCGCTTCCACGCATATTTCTTTAACGGCAGTTCACAGTATTATTTTCATATATTTAAAATTTAAAGTCATTTAAAAATGAATGTCTGCCACTTGTGAGATTTTAAAAATTCTGTCCGATTTTTGAATCAAAATATGTCTCGCATGTTCTCTATTGACCTCTCACTATGGCTATTGTGCAATTGCGTGATAAACCTGGGTTTTGCCTTACCTTTCTTGATACTTCACAGTATGGGTTGTTTAACAGGATGTCACCTTCGTTCACACCTATATTCCGATACTTTTTTCCACGATTTACGGTTTTCCTTTGCCGCGCCAAAATTTTTCTGTTAATTGCACCAAGGTGGATGGCACTTTTTATTCATATTCAGATCCAAGAGCTCCTTGAAAATGAATCTATGCAAATGTTCATCTTTAGCTTTTATGATGTTGATCACTTTCTTTAAGACAAATTGATAATCAGCCTCTCGTCATAATACAAGTCTCACAAAGACTGCCGCGTTGGCCAAGTCGCCGCAAAATAATCTCCCTTTATAATAACAGAATGGCAATTTTAGGGTAGAATTCCTTTAAGTTGTTCAAGTGTGCGAGTAATCAATGAAAGCCGAACATATACTTTTTATAACAGAGGACGAAATATGCCTGTGCCATTTTCATATTTTAAATGACCCCTACAATGCACTGTATTGCCACTTTCTGTTATGGCCCGAGGGCATAATAAAACAATTATACGATAAGATTTGTAGCCATACGCATAAATTACATAAAGTTACATTTATTTATTATTTTCTGTAAGTTCTTTCCGTGGCATAGTCCTTAGCTTGTGTTGCTTGGCAACGAACAAAGGTAAACGTAAGAAAACATGAAATATTACCATAAAGTAAATGAAGTATTATCTGCTTCCATCTTTTAGTTTCTGTTCTCGGTTGAAATGTTGGCGGAAGCTAAAACATAGATTGCAAATTGATGGATCCTAACAAAATATACTATTTCAATCTTAAAGCAGTTGTTTGTGAAACTGTAACACGGCTCTAGATATAGCAGTACTGTTGGAGAAGATACCAACAGATGGAAGAAATTTGAAGTGCATTACAGAAGTTGCGCATTTTCTAAAAATCCTATGTGAAATGCTGACGAAACCCTCACTACATGCGCAAAACAATTATGTTTTTTTTTCCAGCACTAATTCTGTTTTCCTTCATGCCGGCTGATAACTTTCGTAATCGAGGTACACGCAGGTTTTTAATTTCAGTTGGGAAAATATTTCTGTTGGCGACCAGCTTGTTTTCCATTCCATATTGTTTACATCTTTTTTCGGAGTTGTCAACCTGACAATTTCCTTTTCTCGTGATATTCCTGAAGTCAAAAGGCGATCACACTTAGCCATTTTTCTCCTCAATATTTTTCATTTAGATAGTTTTCTTGCGGTCGCAAAGAAGTAAAAATTTCCAATTTTTTTTAATGGAATTATTCTACATGGTGGTTATGTCACAAAAATTTAAAAATATTTAATTCCAAAAATAATGTCAATAACATTTTGACGGTCACCCAAAGCTACGTTGGTAGGATAACGAGGCCGAGTTAAAAACTATTCATCCTTCTTAATATTTTATAATGTACGAAGTCGTGATTAGTTCAGCCATTAGCATTTGCCACCGTGAGAAGGGGCCACATGCAGTTCATGATCAGTGAAAAAAGTTTTTGACAGTCACTCGAGTTTACAATGTAAGGACAACAAGAGTGATCTTAAAACCTCCTATCTTTCTCATTTTGTTTTCTCACGCGGCGATATCGACATTGCTGATCCTAGCTGTCTGCGAAACGCTTGTAACATATGAACCTAGTTATGTCCCGTTGCATTATGAGGTTCTTTAAAACTCATTGGTAGAGCATCGAAGCGCTAACTGGTCTAAACGTCTGAGGTGCGATTCAGCAAATGGGTTTTAGACTTTTTCTTTGTCGCATGGTCGGACAAAACGAAAAACATAATATTTTGCAAAAGAGGATCTTAATTACGTCTCTCGGATTCTCAGATCGTTGTAATTTGACCTACCTAATCTCCTGAAATCAAATGTCACCACAGTTTTGCGAATGTTAGAAAGTTATTGTCTTCTTGGACGTTATAATTAGTACTTGACAAGGCCCAATATCAGATGTAAGCTTGTGTTTAAGACCATATTATATTTTTAATGTTTTTTCCCAAGGGAAACGGTTCCCCCCCTCTGAGGGTCTCAATATTGCTCCTTAGAAAGTCGAGGAAAACAAAGACTCGAAGTTAAATAAATTGAAATAACTCTTTCCCTCGAGAACATAAAAATATATAACGAGATATTTCACACAATCAGATGAAAAACAAACAAACCTTCAATAAACGGGCGTTAAAAAGGAAAAAACTTTCTTCCTTCGAAGAATACAAAATGGATCCAAGCAAACGACTCTAAAATGTTGTGTTTCGTCCTCTATGTGTTGCTTGATCATTTTCGTCGGATGTCTTTGGATAGATTAGAAAATTGTATGTAGTTTATACACTGTTACGTCGCTTTCAAGCTAACTTTGTTGATGGTAGGCCAAAGAAAAGGGCGATGTATACAAAATAACCGGTGGTTTCATTCTCTGGGATAAAAGACGCCAACAAATAAATATTGAAAAGAGACTGAGGCTCCAGACCTCACAAACAAATTTTCAATACGTCAATTAAATTAACAAAAACACGAACATGAATAATTTCCCTAGCAAGTTTAATCAATTTAACAATTTTCTTTCCCTGAAATATTTGTGGGGAAATTTGAATTGTATCGCTGATTAAATTCTGGCATTGAAATTTTTACAACTAAGAAACTTACAAAATACTGCAAAATAAAGCTTATCAAGTCACCAAATTTATTAGTCCCAATGAACGTTACAACAAGGAGGTTATATCAAATATGGAAATTATAATGGTGTTTCAGTGAGCGATGGTTTTGTCAACCTAAGCATTTGTCATTAGAACACCCACAAAAATCGCGAATATCAATATTGCATTCGATAGCCTTCAGCATCTGAAAAATGGTGGAAAATTAGTAAACGAAGGATGCGTTATTCCCACTCGCTACACATACTTGCCTCAGATGTACACAATTTTAAATTCAAAACAGTTTTGTGGTTAGTTGAGCAAGTACAGGTGAGTCAAGGGAAGAACCTTCCAGAAACTCCCAGATTTCGTATCTTTGATATTGTTTCGATGTCTTAAAAAAGGCGCTAAATATCTGTTTAAAAACTTTTGGCGCAAATCTTAACGAGCCCTATTGAATTTTTTTCCCAGTCGCCGATTTTGAACATTACGCATGCCTACCTTTAAGCTTTAACATTCTAACTAATTAAGCGCAACTGTTGCTAGACGAGAAAGCAAACGTTTAAGGGTTTTCACTTAAAAATGTTAGATGTCCGGCGCCATACTCTGTGGTAGCACTGACACCTGACACTGCCGGAGTCTTTTCATGCTTTTCTTTGTAGATTTCATCATAATGCTAAAAGCTGTGCCATACCTTAAAAACAAAACTATCCAGGAGATACTTTCTTATTGCTTTTTGAAGGAAATAAAATGTACGCTGAATGCGTAGTGCCCAAAACTTATCTTAGCAGACAGGTATAATTTCAAACTTTCCCCATCAATACAACCGTCTTTAGAATTTTGTTGCCGCTTCTAAGCAGGGATGTCTTAACTTTCGCATCTGTATTGATCTCGAGTGAACTTTCTATATGTATCTAATTGCCAAATGTCAATAGCTACTCTGAGACCCAACATGACGTCAATCAATTTAAGTAACAAAAGATTTATATTGTGCAGCCCACACAGAATTCACTTAAAAACTTTATACCACACGAGAAATTTGTAACATATCTTTAGCTATCCCTTTTCCCTTTCACCGTCTATGAGGCTCTTCCTCCACAGTTTAGGAAGCTTTTTCAATCACTCTTTCGTTGACTTTCGTATAAGCAAGAAACCCGAAAGGCTTGTTGTTAATCTAATCAGTTCATGAGTGGGTGTGTTGTTTCCTCGCTATGGGCTTTTTTCAATTCGATGTGCCCTCTTTCGCGAAATTAGTCTGAATAAAATTAACGGAGAATGAATGAAATTTTTTCCCATGACTATAACGATCTTTACATGAAACACAAAATACACGAAATGTTCAGAACTAGATATCCTCTTTGATTTGAAAGCAGTGAAAACAGTTGACAGAAAGAAATAGTCGTATTCGGTTGTCTTACTACGTATTAGAACTCTATGTATTCAGTCGTCGTTGTTATTATCTTTCAGACCATGAAAGTGTTTGCTTTTTTGTTTCTTCTCTATTTGCTTGGGTGACCTCTTTTTCCATTGAAATACCAGCTCAAGGGATGTAATTTAACAAACAGAAAAACCAAACTCAATTGAAAGGTTTCAATATTGACTTTGGAACGTTTTTCATTTCAACTATTTGAATAGCCTAAGCTTTTTTATTTACCCAAGTGAAAGGTGTTTTAGGATTTTCTCTTTTAGACTTCCATAATCACAGGAACTTGATATCGCAACCTTTGCATTAGCATTCTCAATATTTTCACCCGTATTATTTAATACTTCCTTCGATAGTTCAAAAGTATTGCAAAACAATATAGGTGGATTTGCTAATAATAAGGGCTTGGAAATTTTTGACACCAATTGCGGTTCCGATTCATTTCGACGGATACTTTGTCTCATTTTCACAAAGTTAGTTGTGTGCTCAAAACGAAGGAAATAAGAGAGAGAGAGAGAGGGAAAGAGATTGAATATGCCCTACAAAAACTGAATAGTGACCCTCGCTCCTGACTCGTGGAAAAAACATGATTTTCCACGAAGCGAAAAGTACCTTTTTGACAATATAGAGAGCTAAAACAGATTTCGAAATTTGTTCACCGCTGAGCTGCAGCGTAGCAAGATTTACTGATTTAAATTTACGAAAACGAACAAAAAAAGGAATAATAAACCACAGAGTGAGCTAATAAATACGATAAATATGTTGCATGTCTTAAATAAAAACAGGATAAGGCTTACCGACACACAGAACTTCATTTTCAGTTTGAGGCGTATGGTAAAACGATATTTTAAATCGCAAATTCAGTGATATCAAGAAGACACAACTGTTGATGATGAATCTGAGCAAAGCCATTGAAATCCGGAAGGTGTACATTTGTTAGCTTGTATCGATTTATTTTCAACCAGTGAAATTCTTCTTAAGTGACAATGGCGTACCTCAAATCAGTTTTGCCAGCCTGTATCCTTTTTTTTAACTCTAATTGTACATCTGACTTGTACATGACCCTTGATTTATAAACTTGAATAACAGGAAACGAAATGAAACACAATAATTTGCACTCACCAGGCGAAAATCGTGTTTTGCTCGCTCACGTATTCTAGAAGGTTTTTAATTCCGGTCTTGTTTCTTTCAACACTCTGCTTCACAAAGAAAATAATAACCGTTTCGAACTAATGACGTTAGTCTTATTGTATAATTCCAGTTACCACCTCCGAACAATTAACATCTATATTTGCATTTTGAAATTCAAAGTGCTAAAAGTTATCAGCTTTAAATCCATAGTCCGAGTACAGCTTTATTGCGCCAATTAAACCAAGTCCTAAAGGGAAGACGCGGTTACATATATCTAACTGTTAAGTGCCAGTTCATTTAAAAGCCAAGAAGTGATAATTCAAGAAAAACGTAATAATAATCAGAATAAAACCCAGGCGATACCTATCTACAAATCAAAAGGCACATAGTAGGTATTTTTATGACAAAAAAAATTGTCATTGGAGTAATTAGTATTCATACAAATCGCAGCAGTTGACCGATACGTCATCTCCTATATCTTTTTGATTTGATGACTTGAAATAAATATGAAAAAAATACTTAGAAAGTCACAAGTGTGTTCTCGGAATTTATTTGAAATTGAGCTTCGTCGCAACGAATTCTAAACTCTTAAATTGAAGATTTATCACCCAAACAAGCAGCTGACTAAATTATCAAAATAAGAATAGTAGAAAACTCTTGCCTTTGAATTGTTGGTAAACTATTGCCCTTTAAAAAGATAAGGAAGGTAAAAATTCATATGTGAATACTTTTTTTTCGGTAAATTTAAGGCCCCATTTAATGTAAAGGGAATAAAGGATAACTGTAAGAAATTTCATGATCCCATTTGTTGTCTACTATGTCATTTCTTTCGTCTATGACAAACTATCCGAGGAGCGATTCTCAGAAGATGCGCTGCTCGAAAAAGTTGTATATTATTTAAATTATTTAACATGCTATCGCATGTATTTGGCTGAATTCCGAAAAAAACGATGGGGGGAGGGAGGAGTCATTGAAGAGATGGGAGACCATACGATAAAGTGAACTGCATGGGATAGAAAGAAATAAGGTTTAACCTTTACTGACCGTGTAATGATATGTATGTTCCATCAAATCGATCGTATGGCATCACTAAGTATTTGTGCGCGTTTCGTGCGTCTGCATTTTATAGGGTGCAGTTCAAATGATAAACCTGTGTAGAAGGAATTCAGTAATGATGATGATTATAATAATGATGCACTTATGTTGCGCGTTTCCGTATTAATAATATACATGAAAAAATTACTCAGTTCTGATTGGTTAAGATACATGCAGTTTTCAGGTAATTCAATGCAGAAGAGGGTTAATTCAGTGCAAAGAAGTAACAAACCAGACATTCTGATTGGTCATTAATCAAAGAAACTCACAGATAGCCAATCAAATGCGAGCCTTGGATGTCGCAAGATTTGGATACGCTAAAAATTTGCGAGCGAAATAATGGCCGGCATGTTGATTAGGTTTTCTTTCGCCACCGCAACAACAATATAGCTGCTGAAAAACAGCTCTAACAACGAAAACACTGTAAAAAGTACTGTTTTTTAATTGTCCATTTGGAAAAAGTGGTGTTTAAAGAGTCTTTAAAGAAGGGAATTGCCAAGGAAATCGAAAATTACGAGCCGATCCAGGTTAGCACTTTGCTCGAGCGATTCTACGCCGAAATGAAAATCAAACATGGTTAAACCTCGCAAACGACGATTCCATTCCATCGAAAGTGATTCGAACACAGACTGAACAATTCCTTGAACTGTTTAGCCGGACTTTGAACTTTTTTGCGCCTTAAAGGTGTGAAAATATCATTGTATATTACTGTTTTGATCGTACGCGGTTGTTTTAACCGAACGCACAATGTCACCTGCAGGGCTTGAATAAATATTTTTGCACTCGATGCGCGCTTTGCTTCTGCATAATTATGAGAAGCTATCTCGTATTTTTCATGTATATTATTAATACGTAATCACATGATTATTCTCGTGCAATTTGGAATAAATAAGCACTTGTTAATTTTTTTAAAGACCACAAATTGCACGAGCCCGTAGGGCGAGAGCAATTTTGTTAGTCTTTTATGTACTTTTAAATTTACTCGTGCTTATTTATTCCAAATTGCACTCGAAATCATATGATTACCTATACTAATATGCTCTTATGCGCTTTAAAACACTTTGATCAGTGCTATACTCCTTCAAAGTGTTTATTGTCAAGCTTTCCGTCTTTCTTTTCCCTTCCTTAACTCTTTTTTCCCCAGTTCTTTTATCAAATGAAAGGCACGGAAAACACCTACAAACAAAGGCGTGCGATTACCGAACAAGTGCAACACTTAAAACGAATGGCTATTTTTTTTTACATTAAAGTAACCGAGCAGGTTTTTGCCAGACAAATAGACTGGCAGTTCAAATTTTGAGGATTGCAAGACTGTTTGCATGTTTTAACTGTCTCAGCGCATTTCATTTGGCATCCCCCTCCGCGACAAATCTGGGTGCAATGTTCAGAATTACACTCCATATTGCAGTTAGCTCCCGCACAGTCTTGTAAGCAATTAGTTGAGGTGCAAGACATTGAGTAGCAGGCTCCATCGTTGCAAGTTTGTGTACATTTAATGGATGCTCGGCACTCCATTCTCCGGCAGTCTCCTTCATTGCAAGTTTGATTTATTGATCGGAAAATGCCATAATGTAGCCATCCAAGAAATGAACAGCTTCGTTTCTGTGGGCACTGCTGATGACATTCACGTGTTAACATTGCACATCTAACCCTCCTTGCGATTGCCTGGAGTTTGGGAGCTTGGGCAGGAGTAACACAGCTTCCAGACTGGCAGTAACGTTTGCATTGTTCTGCTTCACATCCAAGAATACAGTTGCCTCCAGGACACCACTGGAAACATCGCTTAACATTCGACATGCAACTCATCCTACAGTCGCCACCTCTGCATGCCTGAAGACATGTCTCTGCTTCGCATTCCATCGTGCATCCCCCAGCGACACATTCCTGAATGCATACTCTTGAGTTGCATAAGTATTTCATGCATTTTCCTCCAATGCAGACCTGGGTGCATTTACGGGGAGCTTTGCAGTCGAAATGGCAACTTCCTCCCGCGCACACCTGCAGTAACGAGCTGTGATGGCTATATTTATATTTCATGTCGCAATTTCCCTCAGAGCAAGTCTGCATACAAATACTCTCTCTGAGATCGTCGTTGCAGTAAATGTATCGTGGTGCACCAAGTACTGCCTCTAAACCTCGAGTAACTTCCGCACCGTAAGTACATTCTCCTCCTTTACAAGAACGTTTGCATTTCTCTGCATTACAAATCATGTTGCATTTTCCGCCATTACAAGTCTGCTCGCATGACTTTACGCCAGGAGGGCAACGCATTGTGCATTTTCCCAATTCGCACCACTGTGTGCAGATTGTGGCTCCTTTCGAGCAGAGCATGTTACAGCCACCCATAAGACACTTCTGTCTGCAGGTCTCTCCACCACAATCCATCAGTTGACAGCTTCCTCTTGTGCAATCTTGTCTACAATACTTGGATTTACAAAAGATGTTGTTACAACGGCCAGCCACACATCGCTGAGTGCACGAGTTTGAAGCATGGCAATGCAAACGACAACTACCGCTGTTACAAGTTTGTTGACAAAGCTTATGTTGTGCGCTTTCGCGGCACATAATTTCATGATTTCCCGTTTCTCGGTATTGATGGCAAGCGTTTTTATAGATTAAGTTGCACTGCGTTGGCCGAAATCCCCGAAGGCCGCCTCCTACTCTGAGGATCAGAATGGCAACAGCAACCAAAACAACTGGGCCTAACATCTTTTCCTGGAACGTAAAAAGGTAATTAGCACATACTAAATGACGAGATAATCCTTCAAATGGAAACGCTTTACAGCACTGCTTCAAACGCAGGTGACCCGCAGTTAACCGCAAGAAGGAATCTTCTGTTTACCGACTGAAAGAGAATATTTTGCGCGTCATTAGTTTTGAGTGGTAATGCAAATATGTTTGGCGAATGTTCTATGAGAAACACTGAAGCGAGGCTCAGCGCGATCTCAAATCAGCATATTGAAAATGTGCATTAATTTCTAAGGGCCCCATGGCGTAGTTCTTAGTAGTAATTCTCCCTTGACTTGTCTCTCGGAATTTTTTCTGGAAAGGCCTTTTCTCGTGATTGTGGAACATAATGCGACCCTTCAAAAGACTTCGAGGCAATAGATGATAGCACGCCAACAACACGCTTCCGCCAGAAAACAAATTATTTCTCTTGTTTCAGTAGTCACGATAAGCAGAAAATAGCGCGATACGTCAAACAGTGAAGTATAATACATTGAAACATAAACCGTGACAAGCTTTGAAAGTAAACGAAGCGTGCACAAGTGAACTAAAAGGTATATCATCGCTTGCAATGCTTGCATAGGATGTTCCTCGGCCACAGTTATTTTCCATGATTCCGAACAACTCAGCTAAAAGTATATACTTGAAAAAAATCTCAAAAAAAGACTTTAAAGAAGAGAACAAAAAAATGATAAAAAGATGTGTAAAACTTGACAAAAGTTTCCGACACTATCAATTTTTGGCCTCCACTGGACTAACAGTTCGCCTCCCCTTCCCTCGTGAAAGTAGGCACATTCTTTGCTTGTTGATAGCTGCCTACGTGTTGTCTTTAACCATTACACATGCAGGAAACAATACCGTGACCGAAGCGATATAAAGAGGTACGTGTTAGAAACAACCGAGAAGAAGCATATCTACATTACTCCAAATAAAATGTTTATGTAACTCTCTAATCTAATCTTAAGTAACTACTTGTTAAAACTAACCATGTTGTAATTGTTAGATAGAAGATAGATAGCTTGCGAATCGATCAGATAACATCGTGAACCATTTGAGCAAAGGAATATAAAATGATGAAAATGGAGCAGTGGAAATGGATTTGGAACCGTGTTGTTGCTCCCTAGTAGTAAACAGACACCTTTCCGATATCAAGGTTGACAATGTTGTGTAGCAATTGTCTTGTGTGATGGAATTTCTGGCTATATCCTAATTGCTCCATAATCAACCAACTCAAGAAATATCACCTTTCAGTTTTATTTTATCTTTGGCGTGCTCACCTCTACTTATTCTCGTATCATCTCAGATTGATAGCGCGGTTTATTATAAGTTGAACTCATAAATACCATGTTATTTGGCTTTCAGGGCAAGGCACGTATTTTATGGTAAAAAAAAATTGGCCTAGGGGGCGAAATAACTTTTAGAGATATGACTACAGCTGACGCGTGTCTGATGATATCCTTATTGAAATTACAATTAAGTTAAAACATTATTTTAATAAACTGTCTGAAGTTTTCATCTGGATAAGCAATAGGCTAATATTATCGAGGTAAGTTCTCACTTCGATTAAGAGAGGCTGTCAAATTTTTCCGAGTGGGGCGACCCAGTTAGCGCATGATAACAGTTTAAACGAAAACCTATAAAGCTTTTTTCGGGAAGCTCCCCTTGCCCGTATGCTAACTTCAAAACAAAGCATCCTCGATGTCGGGATCAATAGTTTGGATAATGTCGAATCCAACCAAATATCTATCAAAACGTTATAAAGAAAAACGGGTCAAAAGTCATAACAGTTCGCCAAAGATTTCATTCGATCCTTATCTAAGGCTAAGAAACTAATTATAAAGCACGTTCGCAGATAACCTCTTTGCACTGATCAGTCTGGAGAGAAACTCAAAACTGAAATATTTTCTTTTATCAAAGAGCTTCCAGCTGTTGAAAAAAGTTTTCTGTCAGGTTTGTTGCATTTCAATGTTCAACATGATGAAGAAGAGGAAAGTTGTGAGAAAATGAAAAAGAAGAGAAAACTGCAGGTGAAACTATATTTAGCCTCTGCTGTTTCGTCTCCTCAATGCGGTATTTGTTTTTAGAATGATTGCGTTCATGACCTTCACCAGAGACTGATATTCACCGCTTAAGTATGCGAAAAAAAATATTGGAGAACCCACAAAGAAGCTTGTTACTTCTTGGGCGTTCATGACCTTCTCATTGGAAATTTCTTATCCTCGTACTGTTAAAACTTACAACCTGGGGATAAAGCCATGTCGTGAGATTTTGACGTCGGCATAGGCGTTGTTTCTACCATGAAGCCTTCACTAATGTTATCTTTTAAAAGCACGATATTTAAATTTGTGTTTGCTATTGACTATATTGAATCTTTATTCTGTACTGCACCATCCCTACTTCGACAAGTGTAGATGTGCATGTTGTGCCTAGCACCGATAACCGTATTTTTAGATCCAATCAAGAACACTTAGATTCCTACTATACATTTAATGGACCTGTCCATCCACTTTCCGTGTCCATATTATTATCTATCACAGGCATAAGGGAAATTCCATTTATCTGAAAGAAGGTCTAGTTAGATACGCCCACGAAATACCTATGGTAAATTAATTTGTGATATCGAACACCTTCATTGTTGTTAAATTACTTTCGTGCAGTGTTCTGAGTGGGAGGTCATTGCTGTTAATCAAATGTGCTCTTTACTCGCTGTCTGTATCATCTGGCATCTTTATAATTAAATTTGTGTGCTTCATAATTATGTGTAATTCAGTGCTGACTGTCTATGGGGTCAAATAATCCAAAAGAACAATGTTACTTTTTCATCGGAATCTACAATCCCTAGAGATACATCTTTCAATGGTTCATTGATACCAAGCTCATTTGAGAGAGTGGAGAGGTGTTTGATAAGGAACAGTACAATTAAGGGTCTCGCCAGTGTCTTTATCTCTCGTTCCTCTCATAAATAATATTCCTAAACGCCAAAGTCATATATTTTTGGCAGGAGAGAGGAGTGAAACAAAGGCTGAGAGGGAAGGAGGGGGGTGAATGGATAGACGAGGATTAAGGGCATTGAAACAAAATGACCAACAGAAATACAAAAGCTTGATGAGGGACTGTGCGCTAGTATATCGTAAATGTAATTAGAATTGCCCTTGTTTTTTTGTAATTTTTCTCTTCATGCTGGCAGGAGTCCATCATCCATGATGTATCTAATACCTGATATATTCTTTCTTTCTTGCTGCTTTTTTTTTACTCGGGATCGGTTACTCGGGATCGGTTACTCGGGATCGGTTACTCGGGATCGGTTACTCGGGATCGGTTACTCGGGATCGGTTACTCGGGATCGGTTACTCGGGATCGGTTACTCGGGATCGGTTACTCGGGATCGGTTACTCGGGATCGGTTACTCGGGATCGGTTACTCGGGATCGGTTACTCGGGATCGGTTACTCGGGATCGGTTACTCGGGATCGGTTACTCGGGATCGGTTACTCGGGATCGGTTACTCGGGATCGGTTACATGATTAAAGAACTACGTGTGCGTATTCTTTACGACTAAAACTGAGACAACATACGCGATAAGAAAGGAGGTACATTGATGTCGGACAAGACTCGGTATAAGCACACTTGGCAAAGTAGTAGACCTAGACATCAATTACTAGTTACATTGAAGCTGTACAGTAAATGTGCTAACACAGAGACAACAATGACTGAAGGCGCCACTTTCGCCAAATGTGTAACAGATACTGATATCAGCAAAATACACAACACACTTACGTACCAAAGTAGTGACCAACCGTTGAAAGAGCTAAATAAGTGTTTCTAACATCTAACACTGCAGTATAGTCCTAACAGCCGCCAAGGCTGCTGTTAACCGACGAGTCTCGCAATAATGATGGCTCCTTGGTTCCATTCGGGAAATTACACACTTAATGCTTCTAGCAAGTTCTTTGCAATCAGGAGTTTGATCAAAGATACTATCAATTTAGTACCGCTACAGTTAGCTGGTTAATACATGATGATTAACAATATTTGCATCACTTCCTCGCCATAAAACACTTAGATCAGGAGGTAATTTAGATTCAGTTATAACATGTTTTCTTATGTTACTTAAAAAACACACTTCAAGGTTTAAATGACTCCAGTAGGTTTTATCACTGTCACGATCAAACTTAGGCGTAGGTGAAATATTTCGGGTGCTCTTCAATTGAGTCTACCCTGATAAAGATATCACATCGGTTCCAGGTATCTGAAAAAAGATTGCAAAGTTCAAAATTCATACTTGGCAGTCCTATTACAGATGAAATTGAAATTTATTTTGAGATTATTGGAGGTGAAACATTTGCGATAACAATCTTCATTAGATCTTACCGAAGTCTGACCTAAAAGCACAGTGGTCTGTATCTGCGTAAGGTACTAAACCTTCCAACTTTGTAGTCAGCTTCGACAATGAAACGCTTACTCTTAGGACTGCTTTTTGCTAAACTTTAAGAAAGTTTCTTATGAATCATTTATGTTTTTAATTCAGACTTTGAAGATTATGATGCAGTTATATGTATCTCTCTTTTTTCATGTTAGTAACAGGAGTTACCGAGTCAATGAGGACATTCCTTGCTAGTAAGTGAAGTCGTAAAATAGAAACCTTTGCATTATATTGCAAGAACTTCTCTATGTTAGTTTGCCAACAGTCACGTCGGCAAAATCGCTTACGCCGCCTTTTCTATCGATAAGCTATTAATTACAACAACTTCAATTTTTCAGGGGAAATCTTTAAGCAATTAAAAGAAAAATGAAATCGAACATTTTTTTTTTTTCACCATAACCTGTAGAAAAAAAAATGACATTGAGGTCTCCTGTAGAAAAAAAAAATGACATTGAGGTCTCCCGATAAAGCGATAATTCTAATTTGGTAAGTGTGGTCTTCATCATTCACATGATGTCTTCTGCACAGGTACAGGATCTCTACCTCATGATGC